GGCACCTTCCCCGAGCCCCTGTCTCAAAGCCAGTGAGATGTGTCCTTGGCGGAGTTCAAAGGGCACGCTCCATCCGGGCAGAGCAGTGAAAGCTTCGGGAGGGGGTGGCACTAAGAAGGGTCTGGGGCAGCTGGCTGGCATGTGCATGAGCCAGAGCAGGACCGGGGAACCCGTGAGGCCGAGGGGCCGCAGGGCCGAGGCCGGGAGGGGCACAGCCGGGGCGGCCGAGTCCAGTTTGATCCGAGGGTGGAAACCACACAGACAACCCTGGACGCTGAGGCTGGAGAGGAACCTGGACCCTGGGCTACGGGGCTGGACCTCGATTCAGCAGGGAGGGGCGCGTGTGGGTGACTGGGGACGTGACATGGGCACAGCTGTGTCGGGGAGAGACAGGAGGTTATTTGCTAGGCAGGATCTGGTTTTCCGACGCGAACTGTAAGTGGTGAACTTCAGCAAGTGACAGGACATTGCCCCCATCCATGTGCGTGCGCAGCATTGAATCAAAGCCTACCCTACACTCCAGTTGACCAGGTCTGGCAGCTCTACTAGGGGCTGTGCTTTTCTCATCTGCAAGGGGTGTCTATAGTACCAAAGGGTGGGGTTCACTGGCTTCTATGAAAAGTGTTCCCCAGTCATTAGTACATGGAGTCAGCAGCATTCAGATAGTCAGACATTTGAGTCGCCGGGTCTTATCCTCCACCCCCTCTGAGTCTACGGACAATAGCTTCCTTGAGAGGGGCACCTAGTGCCTAGGCCTTTTACATTCAAATAAGAATGGCCTCTCATTAGCTATAGGACCTCAGGCAACTTCCCCAAAAGAAACATCTAATGAATGTCTACTGTGTGTCAGGCATGGTACCCGTACTTGTGTGTATTATACCATTTAACAGTAATACGCAAATACATTTGTTTACTCCTTTGCAGTTAAGTTTTACTAGAAGCTTGGTTCCTCCGTGTGTAAGAGGAGAGACTGGATGCACCCCATCTGGATCCTTGGTGTCTAACCTCGTGCGTGTCCGCTGGCAGTCCCGATGTTAGAGAACAAGGGCATGTTTCAAAGGAAGCAGCTTAGGGCTTCTGCACAGAGATCTTGGCAAACGCGAGAATTCTCTCTGAGGCCAAAGTGAAAACATAGGTAGGCCCTCGCTGGGGAATTTAGGGAGAAGTTCATGTCTTAGTCTAAGCTACTGTAACAAAAGGCCAGAGACCTGGGGGCTTAAACAACAGGGATTTATTTTTTACAACTGGGGAGGCCGAAAGTCCAAGATCAAGGTACCAGCCAACGCAGCTCCTCTGAGGGCTCTTTTCCTGCCTTGCAGACGGCCACCTTCTCGCTGTGTCCTCATATGACCTTTTCTCAGTGCAGGCGATCTTTCTGTCTCTTCTTATATGGGCATCATGGGAGCTTCACCCTCATGACCCACTTGCTCCCCATCTCAGATGCCACAGATACCGCTGACTTGGGATTTCAGGCTTCAACCCATGGACTTGGGTGGAGCGGGACGCAAACATTCAGTCTATAGCAATTCACGTACAATAGACCCAGACTGAACAATGGAAGGGGGTTTGGGGAACGCTTGAGTTATATTACTAAGCATAATAGAAAGAACTGTTATGAGGTAGGGACTATTATTCTCATTCCCATCTTACAAGGGGGGACATTACAGAACACAGAAATGAAGTATCTTCCCAAGACACACAGCTCATGACTGACAGAGCCAGGACCAGAAGCACTGGAGCCCAGGTCCTCAGAGGTACAGCGCATCATAATGCACTACAGCCCTCCAGTGGGGCCGGTGGCTGTGTCCCTAAAGCGACTCCTTAGGGGCTCCCTGTGACGACATGGTGCTGGGACAGGCAGGCGGTGGGTGTGAGCCAGCGTGGAAATACTTGTATTTTTAAGTTGTCCATTTGTCTCAGAGACTCTAAAGAAATGTAATTCTAACCTTAAAGACACAGGAAGACAGCCTGGCCAGGTAGTTCAGTTGGTTAGTGCGTCATTCCAATACACCAAGGCTGCAAGGCTCCATCCCTGCTCGGGGCACATAAAGAATCAACGAGTGAATGCGTCGATACGTGGCACAGCAAACCAATGTTTCTCTCTCTCTCTCGCTCTCTCTCTCTCTCTCTCTCTCGCTCTCTCTCAAATCAATTTTTAGAAAAAGAAATAGAAATAGAAAAAATGCAACTTTTTAATTCATGGTAAAATCCACTCTATCATTTAAAAAAATTATCTTCTGCCTGGGTATTTCCTTTTTTCCCCTGAGAGGTTAGTATAATCAACCGCCACAGAGACAGAACAGTCCATTCACATTTGTCAGACTGGAGGCTCTTGTCTCAGACCAGAAAGGGGCGATTTTCAGCGTCCACTGCTAGCACTCCAAATAGTCCCTGTGGGAAAGAAGTACGTGCCTCAAAAACGGCAGCCACATACAACGAGCTGCCAGCCGATAAGCCCCCGGCTGGGCGCTGAGGGGTGCGTGCTGGGGAGGCCCCTCCCGCTGGGTGCTAAGAAGCAGAGGGCGAGGTCGGGCAGCGAGTCTCATGGGCCAGGAAATGATGTCCGCTGAGATTATTACCTTTTCAGCCAGGTATTTGCTTAAGGTCACTGATGTCCTTCCAAATCACTCCACTCGGGGCTTCTTGCCAAGCCCCTCAGTCTACGCCCCGAGCAGGAAAGAGGTTGGCAGGCCTGGGGTGGGCCGTGCTGCCTCCCAGGGCCAGCTGGGGCCTGGCGGACCCTCACCAAGGCAGCTTCGCGGGGCGCTGGCCGGCAGAGGCTGCTGGCAGCGGTGATGGGTCCGCCGGGACCTGTCCTACCTCAGCTGTGCCTGGAGTCAAGCAACCACTCTGCTGCGTAGTCAGCCAGGGAGCCTTTATTTTGAGCCCCTGCTTTGTGCCAGCCCCACGGGCTGTGCACGCAAAGACAAAGTCGCCCGTCGCCAAGGACTGGGCGGGTCAGTGGGAGGTGGCCTCTCCTTGGGGAGGGAACAGGTGCAGCCTCGATGGGCCACCTGTTCGGCGGGGAGTGTGGTAGGCAGGACACTGATAAACTCCAGTTTGAAAATCCCTGTTGTTCCAGAGTCCCGCCCCCGCCACCACTCTGCCCCCTCCACTGACCCGCCGGGGCCTATGAGCCATGCTGGTATCTCACTCTCCTTCCAAGGGCAGTTAGCTGGGGACAGACCACTGTCGTAGGGCCAGTGCGCCTCCGAGGAAAGGTGCACCGATCTGTGCTGTCCGGAACAGCGGCCACAGGCCATGGGTGGTGCATGACTTCAAGTATTAAATAAAATGAAACATCCCGCTCCTTCGCTGCACGCAGCTTTCAGTGCTCAGCAGCCGCTCAGGGCTGGTGGCGGCCACGCTGCGCAGAGCAGACACAGGACGCTTACCGTTCCCCTGGGTTCTACTGGGTATTTTTTCTGCGTAAATCATGGCAGTAGAGAGTGGGACACCCTGGGTGCACTATGGAGAACGGTGCCTACATCAGCCGAGATGGGGGAAGGGAGGGTGAAGCCAGGGGAGAGCAGGAAACCTCTCCAAGGAGCAGCACTTCCGCCGAGCCCTGTCGGAGGCTCGCTGCTCTCCCGAAGCAGGACAAGCCCAACTTTCATGGACCTCACCTTGCGTGTTGGTGCTCCCCAGGCCTGAGGCCCCTCCCTCCTCTGCCCACGTGTCTCCCTGTCTTCTCACCCACTCTCTGGCTTCATTTGCCTTCTTCAGACGTCCAGCTGAGGCCGTTGGTGCAGTCCAGGGCATCTCAAACGCATCAGAACTTCCCGAGGGCTTGTTAAAAGGCAGCCTCCCGGGCGTCACCCCGTGTCTGCCCAGTAGGCCTGGGATGGACCGGAGATTCTGCATGTCTAACTCATGCCCAGGTGCTACTGAGGCTGCTGGGCCGGGGCCACCCTTTGAGAACCACCGATATGGTCTAAAGAATCCCACACCGATTCATTCCTCCAGCAAATTCTGTTTAATGTCACCAGGGCCCCGTGCTTTTCCTGGACGTGAGCGACCCAGGCAGGGCCCCTGTTCTGGGGGCTCCCATTGCAGGGAGGGGAGACAGACAGCAAATGAACCTACGTGGGCCCATGATGGAGGTTCTGAAAAAAGACAAAGCAGGGTGAGGGCCGAGGCCTCACAGAGGTGACCTTTGAGCAGAGTCCTAAAGAAAATGGGACGGGGCGGGACATGCCTCTGGCCTTTCTGGCCTTATTTTGTTGCATCCTTGGCTTTTTAACGTGAAACATGAGAGTCCTGTTCCAAAGCAAGGCCATCACTCTACTTAATAGCCAGGTTTCGAAGGCAAATTTAATTGTGTGTGTGTTTTGTTAAAAAGAAAAATGATGCTAAAGGCCATAGATTTGACCCCAGCTGGTACGTCTGGGTCCCACTCGCCTGTGTCGCCACCCCTCTCTGCAGGTGGGGAGTCCCCAGGGCTAAGGGGGCCGCCATGAGGAGCCTGCACTCTTCCTGGATGACGTCGCAGGATTCCCAGCCACATGGCTCCAGCCCAATTCCAGGGTCTGCAGGTCCCTTTCCCGCCCACCTCCCTGCAGGCCAAAGGCGACAGTGTGAGGGTGGATCTGCTGGAGCTCGGTCCCTGTCTATACAGAAGTGTCTGAGAGTCCTACTGCGGAGGGTAGAGCGGTTCTGGGAGGACAGGGGACCTGACTGGACCACAGGCTCTTGCCCTGGGTTCTGTGAACATCAGGAGCAGCCCGTTGGCCTGAGCCAATCAGCCGAGCGCCCCTGCCTCTCTGCAGCTTTGGGGTCCAGGCAGAAGAGAGGAGATCAGTCAACATGATCGCATCAGCCTGTGCTGGGAAATGAATACACATCTTAGGCACCGCAAGTCCACTTCGGTCCTTCGTCACCGAGGACGGGGTAGGGGCAACGTCAGCTCCCCCCGCTCCGCAAACAAGTCTTTACGATGACATGGGAACCCTGTGCCTTTAACACCTCATTCTCCTTTTCAACCTGTGACCCCCTTTCAGGCCCAGCTGTCTCAGGCCTTGAATGGCGTTTCCGACAAGGCAAAAGAAGCGAAGGAGTTTCTGGTTCAGCTGAAGAACATCCTGCAGCAGATCCAGGTGAGCACGGCTCCAGCATCGGTGGCGGGGGGCAGCGAGGGCAGCGAGTTCAGGAGACCCATCGGGAAGAAAGGGGAGTGGGTGGGCGCGTGTTCTCACTGGTGCACAGGAGGACGCTGGCTTGTCCTGCCGCACAGCCTCAGACGTTGCGGACACCCCACACTCGGTCCAAAGACACCCATGTGACACCTGACGCAGGAAGGAGGTTGTGCATCAACTCAGTGAGAGAGGATCATGGAAAGAGCTGGAAAGATGTCACGCAGCTCCCCGCCTGGCCGCGTCATCCTACACCGTGTCTATCTGACACCATGGTGTTTGGTAGCCATGTAATCAATGCATCAAATGTAACTGCCTCATTTACCGAATAAGTGTATGTATGAGCACTCATGTTATGTCACATCCCGAACCAGACGCAGGTCAGTAAGACACCGTGTCTGGCCTCAGGAGCTCCGTCTGTAGGGGGAGTGCACACGTGTGCTCCGTGTGAATGTGCGCGTGGAGGAACGTACGCATGGTGAACCCATAACACGTTCCAGTGTCAGGATGGAGGAAGGGACGAAGGGCGCCGAACCCTTGGTCAGCCCACAGAACCGCCCTGCCTAACGAGGGAGAGTGCAGCGGCGCCAGCCACGAGGCCTTTCAAGTCGGATTTTGATGTTTCAGAGACGTGAGACCTATGAGTTTGGCGGGGCTGCTATCACCAAGTACCACAAATGGGGTGTTCTAAACAACAGGAATTTGTTGTCTCCTGGTTCCGGAAGCTATACGTTTAAAAGCAAGGGGTCAGCAGGTTTGGATTTTTAGCGGAGCTTCCCAACTCGTGTGCTCACTTGGCCCTCCCTCTGTGGGAGTCGGCCCCAGTCTCCTCGTCTCCTCCCAGTCATCAGGTTAGGGTGCCTCCCCCCAGTGACCTCACTGTAACTCAGCTCCCTCTTTAAGGGCCCTCGCCCTGGCTGGTGGATGTGGCTCAGTGGATGGAACACCGGCCTGCGAATCCAAAGGTCACCGGTTCGAATCCCGGTCAGGACATATGGTTGGGTTTCGGGCCAGGTCCCCATGGTGGGGCGTGTGAGAAGCAACCAGTCGATGTGTCTCTCACGCGTTGATATTCCTCTCCCTCTCTTTTTCCCCACCTTTCCCGCTCTCTAAAAGTAAATAAATAAAAATAAAGGTCCTGTTTCCAAATACACCCACATGCTGAGGTAGTGGGGTTAGGACTCCAACGTGGGAGTTTGGGGAGGGGGTGCGCCATCCAGCCCCTCACAGGCGGCCTGACTCATGCTGATCTGAGGGACCTGGGCTTTTTTTAAACTTAGAAAGGCAAACCCTAGGGCAGGAGCACTGTGTGGGGGTTTTTTGTTTGTTTGTTTGTTTTCCTGTCTTTTAATTATAAAAAGCAAAAGAATGGGTTACAGAAATTGTGAAAAGCAGCGAATAATAGCCAGAACTAAGAAAAGTTCACCACCGTCTCCCTGCCTGAGGCAACCGCCTCCCCACTTGGACACATTGTTCCATTGCTTTAGACACACGTGCACATGCAGTAAGATGGGATTATGCCATACACAACGTGTAACCTGCTCTTGTTTCTCCCACGAGGGTCTCCTATGATGTTAAAAACTCTCTCTGAACAAGGTTTGAATGACTGAGGAATATTCCACCGCAGAGTTGGAGCAGCCTGGCAGGTTCCCCTCCTCCACTTCCCATTTACACTATTTGCTACGTTACAACCGTCTGTTTCCAATGTTACAACCGTGCAGGGAACCCCAGGACCAGCCGCTTTGACACACGTCTGTGTCTGTGTCGAGCACTCACCAGATTTCAGCGTGCCTCCCCCTAAAGCCTCTGCTTCCCCCAGGAGAACGGACTGGACTATGAAGCCTGCCTGGTCGCTCAGTGTGACGCGCTGGTCGACGCTCTGACGCGGCAGAAAGCCAAGCTGCTCACCAAGGTCACTAAGGAGAGGGAGCACAAGCTGAAGGTAGGTCCCTGGGAGACTCACACCCCGATCCTCAAGGCAGCCTCTGCGCAGAGCGCGGGGTGGAGCACGCAGTAAGCACTGGGTCAGTATTGGGTTGAGTGAGTGAGTGAGTGAGTGAGTGAAACAAGGGAGAGATGAACAAGCTGAGCTGCCCCCTTGCCCTCGTGTGACTTTCCCTGGAGCCAGTGAGCACCCACGTTCTCCCTCCGAAGCCAGAGTCAGGCGCCCTGTGTCCTGCTGGTTTCGAGTCTGAGGTCCACCCTCTCCCGTCTTCTCTACGTCCTGTGTTCTGCCTAAGGGACTCCTGTCCTCAGCAGAGCCGAAGTGACCACAGATGGTGACAAAGCCTTGCTCTGCTCAGGTCTCCAGCTCTGTCTCCCCTTCAGGCTGTCTCTGACGTGTCGTGCACTCAACAGTCAGGCATAATAACAAGACCCCCATCCACCAAGCGGAGGGGGGTTCCCCTCATGCGGCACTGGGCTCCTGCTACATGCAGGCGCCTGTGAGCACGCCGCGTGGACAAAGAACTACTTCATTGTTCCAGGGCTTGATCTGCTTTGTAGACATTTCCCAAGTGAATCAGAAAATATTCACGGAAAGAAGGAATGAGTGTTGGGGGTGGTCTGCGGTTTACTGGCAAAGCAGCTCAGTCCATCTAGTCATCCAAGACCCAGAGAAAAGGGAGACAAGAAGTTGGAGAGTTTCTGATTATGCGCTCTCTCTGCGCTTCTATCCCGAGTTCAGGGAGTTCGCTCTGTTGGGTGTATGGCCCCGCATGTTGGGAAGTGGGTCCATTTACCCGCCAATAAAGAGGGCACATGGCGCCCAGAAGCAAGGGTACAGGGCAGTCCAGACCAGGGCTGCCTCTTCCAGACCCTTCTCTGTGCTACTTTCTGTGACTCTGGCCGTAGCCGAGTTACTCTTCCCCCGCTGAGGTGGTGACTAGGGACTCTTTCATCGCAGATGGTTTGGGACCAGATCAATCACTGCACGCTGAAGCTGCGCCAGTCCACCGGGCTGATGGAGTACTGCCTGGAGGTGATCAAGGAGAACGACCCTGCCGGGTTCCTGCAGGTGAGCCAGCTCCCGAGGACGCCAGGCGAGCATGGGTCCCTCCTCCAGCTCTGCCACCTCTCCCCAAACCAGCCAAAGCTGTAGAAAGGTCCCTTGCTGTGGCCTGGCGTTGAGTAGATTCCCCTTTGCTCAAGGGTTCCCAAAGACCTAAGTTCTCATCTTGACCCTCCCTCTCGCTAGCTGTGACCTTGGTTCTGTGTCACTATGAAACAAGCAGGTCAAGTGTCATCATCTCTAGGGCCCAGATGCCATTTATGCTTTGACTTCCAGAGACCCCAATGCAACATTTTCCCCCGCCAAGTGGAAAGGTCAGTCTTTGCCAAACAAGTTGGAAAGAAGTGAGTTCTCAGAATCCGCTCGGCCCGTCACCTGAAGGTGCAGGGTCCTGCAGGATGGGACAGATGACTCAGGCTGACTCAGGGCCAAGAGTGTCTCTTGGGTACATGACAGTGATTCCAATGCGAGCTCAGCGCCCCATCGGTGCAGAAAATGAGGACTTTCCTCCTGAGTCCCCAAGATGGGTGTACGGGGTCACAGATCTAAGGGGACATGTGCAAACGTCTGAATGGGCAGGACTGTGCAGCCGAGGAGAACACAGCTGGGGACTGACCACAGAGATTTTGGGCCAGAGGCTGCAGGACATGTGGAGCACATGGAGGTGGTGGGTGAGCTTCCAAATCCTGGGGCTATGGGAGGTGCATTCTTCAGCCCCTGTGACAAACTACCGGTCTGTGTCACTGTGCAAAGTGCTAGATCTTGCAAAAGGGGTAGAACAGAGAATGCTTTTGTACATTTAAAAGTGGCATTTGTTTCACAAAAAGCTTTGGCCTGATTTTTTTAAATAGCCAGGACACTTTATATTTCACATGATCGCACATTTAAAATATGGCTTAAACAACACAGTGCATTTGCATTTGTCCAGTGTCCCGCTGGCCGGGGCACTAGCTGAGGATAGCCCCTTGCTGTCCCTGAGCACAGGGACAAGGCCCCAACTCCTCCCTCACCACTCGCCGCATGGTTTTTCCTTGCAAACCAAAACCCTAAACCGTGTGCTCCCTTTAAGATCTCGGACGCCCTGATCAAGCGTGTCCAGGTGTCTCAGGAGCAGTGGGTCAAGGGGGCCCTGGAGCCGAAGGTGTCCGCAGAGTTTGACCTGACCTTGGACAGCGAGCCGCTGCTGCAGGCCATCCACCAGCTGGACTTCATTCAGATGAAATGTAGGGGTGAGCCGGGACTGGCCCAGTTCAGTCAGGGCTTCTGTTGGGACAGGTGTCCCCTCTCAGGGGTGGCTGAGCGCCTATAGAAGGTGGTGATGCAGGGAGGGAGGGAGGCAGGGGGAGGGGGAGGGGCGTCTGAGTCACGGACCTGGCTGGAGCCCCAGCTCAGCAACCCAGCAGCCGGGCGACCTCGGGCCGGTGACACCCTGGTCTGAGCCCAGGTTTTCCCATTTGTGAAAGAGGACCATTTGTTCATTCGGCGACACTCGCGGAGTGTCCTCCTGTGCCGTGCGCTGTTCCAGGTGCTGAGGACACAGCCCGGAACAACCGTACAAACTCCCTCGCGAGACTGAGCTGATACTCTAGAGAGAAAAACAGGCCGTTCACGAGCACATCTGTAACATGCTGTCTGACAGCGGCGGGGGGTGCTTCTTGGGGTGGGACGGTGGGCGTATGTTGAGGTGAGGAGGAGGGAAGAACATTCCAGGTGGCGGAGGGATGGCAAGTGCAAAGGCCCTGGGGCAGGAAGAAGTTTTCTGTGTTCCAAGAAGCGCAAGAAGGTCAGAGGGGAGAGCAGAACGAACCAGGAGGAGGGTGGTGAGCGGCGAGGTCAGGGAGCCGTGGGGGCCACAGGCTAAGGCGCAAGTAAACTTTGCGTAACTTGCCCAAGTTAGAAAATTAGCCAGGCTGCTTCTCCAGAGGCACCAAGGGTGGATTCAGGAGAGAGAATAAAGCTGGTTAGATTTTTAAAGTGAAAATAGCAAAGGGCTGAGTGATATATCTACAGAATCTGTGAGCTCAGGAAAATCCTTGCCTGCAAAATATGTGGCCATTTTTAAACTAAAGAAAAAACAAGCCTCTTGCACGTCTCCACACTCACCGCACACTCTGCTAGCACCTGGTGGCGGGGGAGGCGGGGCAGGGGTGTGTGGGAAACACCAGGTACCCCAGGCGCCCATGAGAAACAGGAGGAGTCTGGCAGGGCGGGGGCAGGAAGGAGGGGTGGCTCGAGATAGTGGGGGTGCTGAAGAAGGAGGCTTGGAGCTTCTCCCGCTGCTGCTCTGGACGGGCGGGGCCGTGGGACCCAGCAGGAGCAGGAGAGGGGAGAGCAGAGCCCAGGGACCCAGAGAGGCCCCTGCACGCTGGCCGCCTGCCGGGCTTCGGCAGCCGAGCCTGCAACCAGGCCGGCTTGCGCCATCGAGACTCTCCGTGGACACCTGGAGGCGGTGCCCTGACAGTTGGCTCCAAAGTGAAATCTGTAGATTTCACACGCTGACTTTGCGATTTGCCCTTTAGGAAATGTCAGGCTGGCTACGCCTGCCTCTGGAAGCCCTTGAGCCTGAACCCAGCTTTAGAACAAAAACATTCGCCCAGTCTCGCCTGAGTAGGCTTTACCATACATTTGATTCAAATCCCTGCTTCCATGGGTCGACTGTCTGATTCCCCGATGACCTCTCAGTGCTGGATCTAATTCCCTGGGCCTTCAAAATGCCCCCAGGCAGGCTCGCCCTCCCTCTTGGGGGCACACCCGTGCCTTCCCTTACGCCCCACGCCCCGCACCCAGGCCTGTTACCTTGGCCCTTCTCTCCCCTGACCTCCAAGGGCCCTTCTTCTGCCTCTGAAACTTGTTTCTCGAGCCCACGCAGCCCAGCTGGCTCACTTCTACTACCCCTGTCACTTCCTGAAGAAACTTTCTCTAAAAAAATAAATAAACAAAAGATAAAACGCTCCCAGCCGAAGGCTCCACTGTGCCTTCGCAGGTCGCCGCCCCGCCCCAGCGCCTTCCCAGCCCCAGGCGGAGGCGGCAGGCCGGCCCGAGGGCCGCGGGGGCCGCGCTGGGCTCGCAGGTACAGGGACCGAGGCTCTGCTGGAATTCCCACGGGCTCCTCGCCGTCCAACAGTCAGACCAGTGAATGTCGGTGGGCGGGTGGGTGGGAAGGGACCGCCCTTCCTTAGCGGGATGGAGACGCCTGCCGTTGCGCCCCAGGCTCCTGGACACCCTGTGCCCCGACTCACTCAGCTGCCCAGAGTCTAGGCCCCGGCGGCCAGGGGTGCGCACGACAGGCTGGGAGTGGCCGCAGGGTGGCCAGGGAGGGAGTTCAGCCACGCCTCCTTCTTGGGCCGGGCCCTGGGACGGACGGGCCCGCGGTGTCCGGGCGCCCTGCGGAGGGGCCTGCGCCCTAAACCGGGTCGGTCCTGTCACAGTGCCGCCCGTCCCCCTGCTGCAGCTGGAGAAGTGCTGCACCCGCAACAACAGCGTCACGCTGGCCTGGAGGATGCCGCCCTTCACCCACAGCCCCGTGGACGGCTACATCCTGGAGCTGGACGACGGGGACGGGGGCCAGTTCCGGGTGAGCCTGCTGCCGCCTTCGGGGGTCCAGACGCGCAGGCTGGGAGTGGCTCCTACCGCCCCGACGTCCGGGCCAGCCCGTAGCCCTGACGCCGCCGGCGAGGGCACTGGCTCCACGGACGGGGGGCTGGGGGTGCAGGGGCCCGGGGGGCGGGGATAGGTTTTCTGTGCCCCAAGGAAAGCATGAAGGAGGGGTGGGTCTTCTCTACCAAGGCCTAGTCAGGGTCCTGGTCGCCACACGTGCCTACGGCCTCCCCGCCGACCCCGCCGCCCAGCCGTGTCTGTCCCCAGCACCCTCCCACGCAGCTCCCCAGTCCCTCCGCGCCCTCTCACACCTTGCCTTGCCCGCTCACTCCTCATTTTACCTGACTGGGTGCACGTGGAAGACACTTGATACTGACGGGTGGGATGAGGTGACCTTCTGAAACCCACGCCCCCGGCGAGGAAATATTGCGGGGGTGATAAAGGCTCTGAGAGAGCCGGGAATGTGTCTGCTACTTCCCCGTCCGGCCGAAACCCTGGGACAGCCGCCCATGCCCAACCGAGAGCCCTAATAAAACTTACCCCGAGATTTGACACAGTGAAGTGCAGGTTACTGTCAAGTTGTTTCGCTGACATGAACACCGGGAAGCCCAAGCTCGAGGTCTTCTTAGAGCTCCTGCTTTCTGTCCCCAAGAAGCTAAGATTATTAATAACTTGGAAAAACAAATGAAGAGGAAGCCCCCTAACCAGGCAGGCAGGAAAGGTGTTTTAGAAAGAATATGGAGACACAGGAGAGGTGCAAGGGAGGCGTTGATAGGACAAGAGTGAATTTGAAGAGAGTGGGGAACAAAGTAAGTCCCTAGAAAAAAATCTTTGGGGTCCGAGGCAGAAATATCTCACCCTCCTGGGAGGCCAAGGGAGAAGCAGCTGGAGAGAGGGGACAGGGGGTCAAGGAGTGGAAGACGCCAGCCTCAGGGCCTGGAGCCGCCCTCTCCCCCGGAAGTCGTTCCGCCCGAATGAACCGAACCCCCCTGTGCTCGGTCACACCCCTCCTTTGCCTGCCTTCTGCATCATGTGTCATCACCCTTCTCGGTAACATAGTGGCTCTTTTGTTTATTTAGATGCTTAGCTCATTTTTCTAACTTCAATTCCCATGGGAAACCAAGAATCTGTCAGTGCCGCGTCCAAGAAGGAAGGGGGTTTCTTCCCCTTCGTCGCCCTGGGGGCGCTGATGTCAGAGGGCTGACTCAGCGGAGAGGGGACACTGGCCGGCTGCGTCCTGCTGCCTGCAGGCCTGCGGTCCCTCTCTGCCGCCCTGGGACCCTGTCACGCCTCACAGACTCACAGGCGCAGGGGCTGGCCAGCCACTAGTGAGGGTTCGTGCCCGACTTGGACATGGCTGGGGTCCTCTGGCCACTTACCCGAATTTTCCTCATTCCATACCTCTAACACGCTTCATGCCGACGCGTCACTAAGCGAAATTTTCCTGACGAGCCGTCCCGGCTCTCCTTTAGGAGGTGTATGTCGGCAAGGAGACGCTGTGCACCATCGATGGGCTCCACTTCAACAGCACCTACAATGCCAGGGTCAAGGCCTTCAACTCCTCCGGCGTCGGGCCTTACAGTAAAACTGTCGTCCTGCAGACGTCTGACGGTGAGCGCCGGGGGCTCTCGGGGCCGGTGGGGGAGGCAGGTGCTGGCACAATGGGTGAGCTTCTCAGGGAGGAACCCACATGTCCTCCCAGGGACCAGGGACAGCTATCAGCTGCTTGAGATGGAGCCGTGAGAGAGCAGAGGGAGCGAGGTGGCAGGGAGGCATGTGCGCGTGTCCCCTCCCCCCCCCCTCTCCGTCCCAGCTCGGCGCACCTGCTCCTTCCTCCCCACAAGCCACGAAGGACAGAGACATTCCTTCACCCCGTTTGCCGGGCCTGGCAAAGGGCACTAGCTGTTGAGAGGCTCAGGGAGACTAAAGTCCCACTTCTGAGGGGCTCGGAGCAGGCATGACAATTGCAGAGAGGAAGACCACACCGCCACGAGGGGGGCATGCTGCCCCTGGATTCGAGCGGTCCTCACGGCAGGAACCTGTCCCCCGAACGCCCAGAACAGGAGCTCAGAGCTGATGGCTTCCACAGCCAGCTGGGGCCTTCCAGGTTCCAGGCGATGTGGCCACACCCACAGCAACGGCGGAGTGCTCAGCAGGGAGCTGGGATGCAAATAAGGAACATGTGCCAAAAGAGCCTGTCCTGGTAAACGAGGCCATCCTGCCCAGGCGGCAGAGGCTCCGGGACGGTGCCGAGCCTGTGTCCTTGTCCTCATGTATCCCAGCACATCCCCGGGTTGCCCAGGGACACATGACGGGGCCTGGACAGCCTCCGGCCCCGGAAGGAGCAGGCCAGGAGCAGAGGCCGTGGTCAAGGGCACAGCTGCGACGCTTTTCTGAGAATGGTGTGACCCGCAGAGGCATTTTGTACCCCGCAAGGCTCGCTTGGCTTTCTGCCCGGGAGCTCCGGGCCTGGGGGCGGGCCGCCCGTGCCCGGTGCGTTGTGGCTGCAATTCTAGAGCAACGGCTTCACCTCCCACGACCACAGGGGCTGGGAGAGCGGAAGGGGGCACCACCCAATGGGCTGGGAGCAGGAAGAATGGAGCCCTGTGACTATGGTCACCTCGCTTCCCCTCTCAAGCCTCAAATCTCCCACCCACGACGAGGTGGGGCACGGACGTCTCCTTCCTCCTTCACTCATCACAGTGCGTGAGGCGTGCGGAATGGAGGCAGAACCAAGGCTCCCTGAGATGCATTTGGACGTGGGACTTTGAGGCCTTAATGTCTGGGTTTCTTGGCACGTTGTGTTAGTGGGATCAGGAACATGGATAAATACAGGGCACAGAGTGCGCGTGCGTGTGTGTGTGCACGCGCGCAAATCACACAGGAAGGAACATGTGATACAGGGTGCCAACTTCCTGACAGACATGAGCAGGCCTGTGTCTCTGAGCCCCGGTAGAGGCTGCTAGCAAATTCCATCTCCTGACCCGCTCCTCTTGCCTCCTTCTTTTCCAGTGGCCTGGTTCACCTTTGACCCCAACTCTGGGCACCGGGACATCATTTTATCCAATGACAACCAGACAGCCACCTGCAGCAGCTATGACGACCGGGTGGTGCTGGGCACAGCGGCGTTCTCCAAGGGTGTGCATTACTGGGAACTGCACGTGGACCGGTATGACAACCACCCAGACCCCGCCTTCGGGGTGGCCAGGGCCAGCGTGGTCAAGGACATGATGCTGGGCAAGGACGACAAGGCTTGGGCCATGTACGTGGACAACAACCGCAGCTGGTTCATGCACTGCAACTCCCACACCAACAGGTGCGCGCGGGCCCCTTGCCCTGCCTTCCTCGCACGCGGGTATTTGGGGATGAGGGGCCTGTAAGGCCCCTTCCCAGGTTCCGGCCTCAGGGACGTAGGGAGGTCTTTCCAACCACACTGGTGTCCCATTTCCAGGTGGCTTTGACTCTGACCAGGTAGACGTGACCACAGCCCCAGGGAGTCTAAGCGGCAAACAGGCTTCCAGGTTACGGAGCACGGGGCACGCACGCCCCGGCTCTGCCGTGGCCCTGGGCAGTGGCTCCCGCTCTGCTTCTGCGCCGCTTTCCTTCACACACCATCACCCGGGCCGATCGCTGCCGGGCGATGGCCTCGTGGCTATGACCAGGTCTCCGCAGGGGGAGCAGCTGCCGTTACCCTAGGGGCTGTCTGCCTGCATGGACCCCTCTCACTGCTCCGCCTTGAGGGGACTCTATGCCAGGGCAGCGCCCTCTGAAGGGGCAGGCACTGTTGGCGGTGCTCCCTGCTGACCTCCCCGAAAAGGGCTGCCCTGGGAAGGTGCCCCCGGGCCGGGACTCCTCCAGGGCCTGCTCAGACACAGGGAAGGTCTGGGTTCCTCGCCTCCCATCACGGCTCGGGGTCCTTCTCTTCCCCCCAGGGGTTCTGTGTATAGGGGTCGCAGGGGGGAAACCCTCAAAGCCAGCATTGGCCGGGGACCCACGAGTGGAGAGTCGGGCCACCTCGAGCCGCCTCCTTGCTTGGGCCTCCTTTCTGGCCAGCGGAAGGTCGTCAGCACAGCCAGGGGAGGCCGGGAGCCCAAGGAGCGACCTCAGGGGGCCGCTCTCAGCAAAGTCGGCTCCGAGTCCACCTGCCGCTCCGCACATGGGTCGTGGCCTGCGGTAGGGACCCAGAGGACGCCTGAGGGTGCCCAGGGCAGCTGGAAGCCGGCCAGGCCCCTTCCACCTGCCTTTCGCTCGCAGAGGCCCGGGGAGGGGCGCCTCTGGCCCTTGCACCCCCTGCCGGGCTGGCTGGGCGTGTAGGCTGACCTGCCCCAGTTCCTAGACCACAGCCGCAAGGGCGCGGTCCAGGCCCGCAGCACGCTGTGTCAGCCGCTGTGGGAGGCCCCGGTTTACATTTGACCTCCTTAATTCCTCACCAAAGTCCTAGTGTTATCGCCATTTTACAGATGATGGGACCTGGGCTTAAAGTTTAACCAGGGCGCAAGCCACTAGGCTAATTGGCAGCGCTTAAGAGTTCAGCTCAGGATCCTGGCCCAGTTCTGGGAGCAGGGGTTGGTGGAAGGGGAGGCGTCGCAGTTGCTGTTGGAAGAGCCGGTGCTGGCGCCGGCAGGGAGCGAAGCGAGGCCGCCGGGCTGGCCGCCTGCCCTGACCTTGGGCGGGCGCTGACCTTGGGAGGAGGCTGCGCTGGGGTGGAGTGGAGCTCCTGCGCCTCAGACTGGTCGCTACCGGCCCCCAGTGGTCAGCGTCGGAATAGCACCAGCGACCCGGTCCCGTCGCCCCTTTGCACCCGCAGGACCCTGCCCCACCTGCAGCCTCCAGCGGATCGCTCATTCCACACCAGCAAAGGACGCAGATGGCTTTTTTATGGGGCAGCTCTGCCCTGGTCAGGGTTCAGACTCAGCCCCAGCAGAGGGGAGGCAGGTCGGCCAAGGCGCCCCGAGAGTGAGGCTCTTCCCTGCTCAGTGGATGTGAATTTCCACCACCACGAAAAGTACAGTAGAATCACTGACATTTGTCAAGAGCCTCACAGTTTATTCTCAGGGCTGCCGATCACCTGTGGGATGCGACGCAGGCAGGGGACTCGCGTCCACATTCAGCGCCTGTCCCCCACCGGTGGGCTTCCTCACCGCAGTCCTGGGGCACTTCCAGGGAGAGGCGCTGAAGAGAGGCCAAACCTCCTGCGGGCCTGGCCGGCCGTCTGCCCCTGCCATTACCTCCGCGTCCCCGCCCGGCTACCACTAAAAAGCCACCCAGCGGGTTCTTTCCCCACCCACGCTCCCGGCCCACGTCTTCACATGGGACCCGCTCACTAGGACCCTAACTCCCTGGTGTCCAGGCCTCCGATACTGTCAGGAAAGAAGGGGCTGCCCACCCTGGTTCCTATGGCACCAGGTGCCTTACCTGAGGGGGAAGGTGTTCCTGGGCGGCTGCCTCACAGGTGAGTCCGTTTCACAGGAAGGATCGCACACCCAGAAGAACAGCTCCCTACACCGCCGGGGGCTGTGTGCTTTATGGGAGGGTGTCCCCGGCACCCTTTCAGCGATTGTCCTGAGCCATCGCCTGCACCCCAGGCTAGAAGCGGTGATGGGTCTCCTCGGGCTTCTCTCCCCAGGACGGAAGGTGGCGTGTGCAAGGGGGCCACTGTGGGCGTGCTGCTGGACCTGAACAAGCACACGCTGACCTTCTTCATCAACGGGCAGCAGCAGGGCCCCACGGCCTTCAGCCACGTGGACGGGGTCTTCATGCCGGCCCTCAGCCTCAACCGCAACGTGCAGGTACCTCCCCGCGCCGCCCCCCACCCTGGCCAGAGCCTGTCTGGCTGCTTCCCCCGCTGCTGGGGGGATCCCATGGGGCACTTGGGCAGAGAGGGCCGTAGGGAAGCCCACCGCAGTGCCTGCCCAGGTAGAGCGCTTACCTTGTCACCCGGCTTGGGCGTCCTGGCGACATCCTCTCTGGCCCAATACATTCCCACCCGTTCACTTTGAAATGAGCAGAAGCCAAGGCAGCAGTTGGGGAAGAGCAGGGGAGAGGGCCGGGGCAGGAGGACGGAGTAGGGAAGACGGAGCGGTTCCGTTTTCTGGGGACGCGCTCAGAGGGGAGTCAGCACCCCTGCCCAGCACGGACGCTGGTGGCCAGGCCGGTGCTGGGGCCCTCGGGTGGGGGCGCTGAGTCCTCACGGAGCTGTCCTGTGGCTTTGCCCTGAGAGCAGAGTTGGGGACAGAGCAGCCCTAAGGTGCCGTGAGTCCCGCCCTGTTCCCTCTCAGCCCCTCTGCCCCTCGCTGTCCCCGACATGAAGCAGGCAGGAAATTTGTCCTCGAGCTCAGGACTGGGCCCAGTCCTAGAGGTTGTTGATGGCTCTGGAGCTCCGCAGGGAGCGAAAGAAGGGCGGAGGCGCCATCCTGCATCACCAGTAGAGTCCTCCTCCCCCGGGGGTCGGGGGGAGGGGGCAGAGGCCTGCTCTGTGGTGCCCGTGGCCCTGAATATTGATGGTCTGCGCCAACCACTTGCTGATGGGCTGGTACGTCCACTCACTTGCAAGAGGGCTTTGAGGCAGCCTGAGCGATGGGCCGGCATTCCACAGGGTGGACCGCACGGATGCAGGACAGGGAAGAGGGCCACGGGGGGGAAGCGGGAGCAAGCAGTTGGCCGGCACACCTACTGCATCAGCACATCTCCCGGCCTCGAGGGCAGAGCAGGGCCCAGGCAGCGGGGGTTCTCATTGTGAGGAGAGGGGCGCAGACTGCCCCTGGGGGCAAACTCGTGGACCTTACAGTAGTGACTCGAGCGGCATCATCAACAGCAGACCCACAGTACAGGGACGCTGCGGACTGTGGGGACCCGCGACAGGCAGCGCGTAGCATGTGGCCGCTGTGCTGCCTGGGCGCGCGCCGCTCATGGGGCAGCCTCTCCACCTTCCCCCATCCTGCCTTCATTTCCAGGTCACCCTGCACACGGGACTGGAAGTGCCAACAAACCTGGGGCGGCCCAAGCTGTCGGGCAACTAGACCCCGGCTCCAGCCGCGCACAGGCCTCTGGGAGAAGCCCGCCCTCCCTCGCTAAATCTAAGTTCTGCAACCACACGGGCGGAGGACCACATCATGGTGCGCCCCAGAAGCCGCTGAGACATGTTTTCTTTTGGGGACAGAGAACAGGTCTGCAGGCTGGGCCTGCCGAGGCCACCCCCGGAGGGGAACATGGGTGTGTTACCCTTTGTCCCGCCTGGATGTTTCAAATACTCACGAAGAAGGGTTTTTTCAAGGGAGAGAGAAAGCATTCGGGGTTTGCAGTTTTGTTTCCTGCCATCTGTTCTCAAAGCTTGTTGGGGACAAGGGTGGATGTCCAGCAGAGGGCACCCTGAGAGCAGATGGCAGGAGACCCTCTGGAACCCCCTGTCCCGAGGGTCCAGCCTTGGCTGGGCGACACTCCTTCAGAGTCCCAGCATCCTCATCTTTGCCGGGAAAAGTTCTTCAGCTTTTTGGTCCTGGAGCCTTCAGTATGTTCTGCCACTTGCAGCCCCAACCCGGGATCCATGCAAAGGGGCACTCATCATTCATTGATCTTTGCCTCTCTCATTTCCTTAGGTCCTTCATTGCTCAACCAATCTCTCTCTCTCCCTCTCTCGCACACAATAGTCTACTAAAATTAATTCACTCAGTTCTTACTTCTTCAACACAGAAGAAAACGCTGAAATTTCACTTTGAATGACGATGTGACGATTCTCCACCTGGACCTGGCTCCCCAGGAGGTCACCCACACGCCCGCCTGAGCTGCTCTCCTGAGCGCCGCCGCGCTCAGGCTCCTGGCGTAGAGGGCGGGAGGCCCGGGGGCGCCTCTGGGAGCAGGCCCACCTTTGCTTTGAGACCCGTCTGTCTGTCATCACGAACGCATCACGAGCAAGAAGTGGGCCCCACAGCAGGGTGGCCCTACCGTGATGGGGCAGGCAGGGCCTCTGAAAGGCAGGAAGTGACAGCAATATTGTGTTCCTTGTCTCCCAGCTCCCTGGCACCAGCCTGGGTGTGCGGAGGCCACATGGCCGGGGTGGGGCTCTGGCTGAGCCCGCCCCTCCTTGCTGAGAACACACCCCTCCTCCCCTGAGACCCCTGTCGAGCCATGTCCATCTCTCAGCACAAGAGCTCATCCCAGGGGCTGGCCTTGCCTCAGAGCACCTTTCTCCTGTTCCCTCTCCCCTTTCTTGTCACCTGCCACCGCCATCTCCATCTGGTAGTAAACCTCTCTCCTTTTTACAAGAATATATTTTATCAAGCATTTTATTTTCGAGGTTGAGGAGTACCTTGTCTATTTGCTGGATTGGATTTTTATAAAACTGAGCCCGCAAACCGGCGCCTACTGTGTTCACTTGGTTCCAGCTGCTTGTTGAGAAAACAGCGCACTTGCTTTCTGAGTGACCCGGCCCACGCTGTGCAGGCCCTGCCCTCTATTCAGCAGATCCGACGATCCTACCTCGAGCCCCCGCTCCTGGACCTCAAGGCTGCCGTGTCCGGCTGTGTCCACAGGCGTGGCCGGCTGGGCCGCTGCCTGGTGGCTCCAGGAGCTGCCTGGTGCTGTACTTAAGCCTCACCCACCAAGGTCCTTGCAACCAGGGCCACCTCGAGCTGCCAAGGGTCCTCGTCTGTGCGGCTGCCTCTCTTCTCTGCTTCCACATTCCTTAGTTTCACTCCTTTGCCATAGCTCTGAGTGGACTTGGCTTGGAGGGTGGGGAAGATTCCTGAAGATTGCAGGACACAGAGGAGCTATGGCTTTCCTGGGGCCGGTTAAGCCACGGGCCGCCGGTCCAGATGCATCGGCTTTGGGAAATGTCTTCTGGAAAAAGACGAGGCCAGGGTACCAGGAATAAGAGTGCGTCTGGGAAGGCAGGGAGGGCTGCTTGGTGGAGGTGGCTTTTTTCAGTGGAATCCAGATGAGAGGCTGGGGAGCTCCCAGAATCATTGAAGCTGGGGTCAGCAGGCAGCCCTGGCTCTGCATCTTCGGAGAGGAACTGCTCGAGCTCAGCCTGGACTTGGTGTCTCCCTCGGAGAGCCAGCACCTAGGTCCCAGGGAGACGTGGAAAGGGAGAAGGGGCATTCCCACAATTCCCAGTGGACTCTTTAGGAAGAAAATTACCTGAAATTCAAAGAGAAGCCACCAAAGCACCCTGCTGCCCAGCTGCCCCCTGCGGTCAGCAGGCGGGGGGCGAGGGTTCTGTGGGTGCCAGAGCGGCACGGTTCTACCTTCTCTGACGTCCCCACGGAAGCAATATGGCCGATACCAGGGACCGCATCAGGACGTCCTGTGGTGCCTCTCGTCTTCAGCACAAAATGTCTTTCAGGGACAAGAAAGGACCTAAAAGAGAAGGCAGGTCCGTGCCGCACACTTGTGTGTTTGAGGGATCAGCAACACGGAGCAGGAACTCATTGGCTCCTTCCGCCTTCCGCCACCCTCCCAGGAGGCTCTGGGAATCAGAGTAGAAGCCACAGGTCATGGGCATCTCATCAGCCATCGAATTCCCTGTTCCTTTACAACGTGACGACATTTTTGTACATAAAAATTATATCAAGATGATGCTTTTGTTGGGCTGGCTGAAGAATAACTTGGTGTCCATCTAGGAAGTGGTTTCAGTAAGAAGGGAATTGAAAGTAATTGAAAATGTCAGGTTCCCCTGCCTTGTAAATAACGTCTCTGTTACCTAGTTCCTCTGCTCTTTGTTCTTTGCTGGTCAGCAAGTTCAGTCAAAATCTATGCCTTTCCTTTTAGGATTAATCTCTTTCCAAAGTTTCCCATAGCATCTCACTGCGTAGCCTCCTAGCTCCTAACTCACAGCAAAGTAAGACGTTACACAGCCCTGCCTTTCCCCTTTCTAACCAGTTCAACGATCCAGTGACAGTGGACATCGGTAACCCTGGCTCACAGAGGAACTGACCTATAAACTGTACATAGTTCTAGCGGAACCGTCCACCCCGTGTGTAGTCCGTAGTTGCGACAGCACCCCCGGGCACTCCGGAGTGAGCCCGGGCCACCCTGCGGGGCTCCCCGAGGGCACAGGTACCCCTGCCCACTGCCGCCCAGAGCACGCTCAGCAAAATGAAGGACCGATGTGTACTTATTCCAGGGCTACGTGCATTTCAGCCTTAATCCTCATTGCAAGCGTGAGGCCTGGTCCCCGGCAAAGGTGTGTTTCCGTGCAGGGGACGGTCAGTCGGCTCACAGACGACGCGGCTGCCGGTCCCATGGCGCCTGCTGCCTTCGAGATGCTGAGGGCAGGTCAAGCCCTCCGGCGACTCGATGTGTGATTGTGAACTGTACTCCTGCAGGCCCGCGGGTGGCGCCCCGCACGCCAGGCTTCTCCACCTCAGCACCAGACGCCCGGGGCGGGTCGTGGGTCCTGCTCTGCGGTGGGCGGCTGTTCCGTGCGTTGGAAGACGTGTAGCAGCAGCCCGGGCCTCCGCCTTCTAGGTGCCAGTAGCAATCCCCAAGTTAGTCGTGACAACTAAAAGTGTCGACAGACATGGCCAAATGTCCCCCGGGGGACACCCCTGGTTAAGAGCCCATGAGTTAGGCAAGGGGTTTGTCACGTATCAACGGGCAGAGCGACGTGGGGTTGGGTGGGGGGGTCTGCTCAGTGTCACGTGGGAGACCTGTGTCACAGGGCTGCGGGCCTTCGTCTCTGTCCCCAATGCGGGGCGTCTCCGTAGGTCTGGGTGTTCTGTCAGATGGAGGCAGGTGGGGGAAATGGCACCAGTCGCGGGCGGGGCCCTGCCTGTCAGACACTCTGCGTTCACTGAAGATGCCCCCGGTGCCCACCCCGATTCCTTGAACCAAAACTCCTTCCTTTCCCTTGGCCACCTGTGACTGAAATCAACAGACACTTCTTAATGGGTTGGTGGCCTTACCTGGTTAAAAACCTAACCAGGTACTATGAGGAGATAGTTGAGGGCTGTGCTGAGCCTGGGACACCTCAGGGCTCTTTTGAAAGTAAATTAAGCCCATGGCTGTTTGCATTCATCATACTCCTGGCTGTAAAACGGACAGCAGTAGGTTTGGGGCAGGATGTACTAGCCAGACACCAAGTTCAACCTCAGAGACTCATCGTCTAACCTGACACTGGGTCCGGTATGGCGGGGGACAAATCTCTTAAATCTTTCTGTGCCTCGGTATCCCCACCTGAAAACGGGACTACTCATACTAACCTACCTCCTCTGATGTATTGTGAGGATTATAACACTTTTTTGAAAAACGTATACTCTGTCACTCTGTCATCTGTTGAGTCCCGGCTAACGGGTCGCATTCAATGTATCAAGTCCATGTGGTGACTTTCCAGAGTGTACGCTGACCACAGTGTCTTCCATCCACGCCTCTGACGACCGTATTTATTACACAGCTGCCTGGCCTTGCAGGGCAAAGTCGACATTTAAAACAGGCTTCCTGTGACTTAGAAAGCGACACCCCAATGCCTCCACTCCCATGAAGCCTGGGCACTCTGCACACATCAGCACTCTTGTTCTCAGTTCCCAGGGCATCTGCGTGCAGAAGTTCCCTCCAGATATGAAAAGAGACGAGCACCCCCACTTCCTGACTCCTTGGTCGCCTTACGTTCTGGTATCTAAGGGCTCCTCCACCTGTAAGGTGACTCCTTTGTTTCCAAAGTTCTCAGCAGAGGGCGCACTTGGAACCAGGGTCTCAGAGAAGGGTGCGATGCCTGCGAACCGCGTCTAGATGGCGGCGGGTGGGGCTCAGAGGCAGAGGGGTGGTGCTCTTTGCAGCCTGGGGCTTCACACGCACTGCCTGGTAAGGGGGGTTCCCAGCTTTCTCAATGAATGACCTTGACTTCAGTCAGAAGGAGGTGGGAGCGAGGCCTGCAGGGGAGGTGCTGGGGTTCTTTCGAAGGGCGCTGCTCATGGAGGGCACTCATCCTGGGGAGGCCCCGGGGTCTCCTGGGCAAGCCAGGTGGGCACCACCCACCAGGCCGGAGGCTCAGGAAGGCTCTGAGAGTCCAAAACAAGCTTCCGGTTTGGAATAGGGACCACTCAGCAGGACCACGGCAGCTGTTTCCGGTGTCCTGCCTGGGAAGGCCTCCCCCCAACCCCCGCCCCACCCACTCCTGGGGACAGGGTGTCCCCAGCCTGGACTTCCTCAGCACCAAGAGCAAGGACAGAGTGAGCAGAGCAGAAAATGTTAAATGCATGACGCAGAATCGCTGCTTTCGCACTATACTGTTGTATTAAGCATGAGAGATGTGTGTTTGACGTTGGCAAAGGAATTTTAAAAAGTAATGAAAAGCTTTGTGTCCTTGTTTTGGCTGTCGACAGAACTTCCATTTTCCTGCCTTCCTTTACCTCCTTTCCTCCCTCCCTTCCTCCCCCCTCGCATCTACTTTGTCACTAGTTGTTGGTGTTTGGTGGCAGCCCTTGGTCCCTTTGGTGTTCATGATCCACTGGAAGCACGGAGGGGGAGTGGGGAGTGCTTTTTCTAATTTTTGTATTGGTATCCACAAGCCTTTGTATTTTTTGGATTGCAAACACTGTGTTTTCTGGTCTTTGGGGGTTGGTTGAACTTTGTGTATCGGCTTTTGAGAAACCTGAGTTTTACCACAGTCTCAAGCAGATTTGAAATAAATTCTTTTGACACTGCCAACAACTAAAAGACAAGGTATGGTCTGTGGTGGCTGAGGGGTGGCAGGCGTGCCCTTTCCCAAGCGGAACCCTGACTGCCGGCTGGACAGAGCACAGGCGGCGCAAGGGACGGCCACCCTCCCTCGGGCCCGGAGGGCCTGGTGTCGGGTGTCAGGGTCGCTGTGGCTGTACAGTTCAAGCCAGGAAACCTCGAGGGGATAGCACGTGGCTCAGAATCATAAAGTGCTACTTCAAACAGCAGTTCATGGAATTCACTTTTCCATGAGGTGAGATGTCTGAAAATGGTTAACAGCGAACATATGGTTAAGATAAGTTCATAAATAAAAATGATCATGGGTTAGAAGTGGACGCTGGGACTGTAAGATTTGGGTGGGGCTGCACGTCCTAACTAACCCGGGAGCATCGGAGCCTACTAACCAGTCCCTTCTGTCACACAAAGCCCGCACGTCTGGCCCGGAAGCCGTCCCTGATGCCATCCTCGGACTGCGATCCTCAGCAGCAGCTGTCTCACTGGCTCCCCAATGGCCCAGACCTGGCCTCGCCCCCCGTTGGCCGCAGATCACTGTTCGGTGGGCGGGGGCCGCGGCAGGCTCTGGGGGCACAGAGCAGAAGGCTGTTACCAGGTGCTCTTGCAGCTACACAGAGAAGGAAGCGGGGACGGGGCCAAGGGTGGTGTCGGGCTGGCCCAGCGAGAGCGTCCGGGCTGTGGCGCTGCCCGAGCGGGGCTGTGAGGATGGGCCTTCGGTGCCCTCGCTCTGCTCATTCACTGACTGGGCCGCTGCCAGCAAGGGCTGAGGTGGTCCCCAAAGGCTGAAAGCCATGCTCTCGGCGCTGTCAGCAGCTGAGGGAGTAAGAGCCCCCTCATTGCTGAAGGGGGTTCTGAGGGGTCAAGCGTCCAGCACAGTCCTGCCCTGTGCTTCCCTGGGGTTTGGGGAGCAGCCCTTCCAGAATCCCCATGGCGGGAGCTTAGATGAGGAGGATCGGGGACAGGACGAACCGCGTTCCTTCCGCTGCATCTGGCAGGGAGCTGCCTTCTCTCCTGTTCACTCAGACCCTGCCCCTCGCGCAGGCCCCCGGCTCGCAGTGATCCCGACCTCAGGCTGCGGGCTCTGAGCCTCCGCTCCCCGGGCCCTCAGCCCAGGGCTGCTGCCGTTGTCCATTTACCGTCAACATAGGGCAAGGGGAGTAGCAAGAGGTGCCAGAGGGGGCCACCTGGGCGCAGATCCCTCCCTGCCCCTCCCAGGGACAGCAGCCCGACCTCCTCTCTAAGGTCAGGGTCATCACCCCTGCAAGGTGGTGGCTCTCTGTGCCCAGACAACACGCTTGGTTCAGCAGGACATGTGCTGTGTTGTTTCTCCCTTTGGGAAGCAGGCTGTCCAGGTCGGCAGGGCCAAGCCGTGGGGACGGGCGTCGCCAGCTCTGAGAGGGTTGCTGGGGGTAAAGGCAGGCGTTGTGCTGGGTGGGCCCGGGACAGGCCCAGGCAGGCGCGTCCCCCACTGGGAACAAGCCCCTGTCGAGGGGAACGGCGGGACGGAGACAGCGGGGAGACGCTCGTAACCATCTTCCTTTGGTGACTTCTCCGCTGCCACTCCTCCCTGCTGCTAACCTGGCTGGAGACAATGTAACCCGGGGGAAATGAAAGCGCAGCTGACAGCTTTATTACCAGTCCCTACAGGACGGGAGCTCCTAAACCTCAGGGCCTTTCCCCAGCCCCGCGCGGCCACAAGACTGCTCCTTCGACATTTACTCAGTAACTTCAAGGGCGAAACCGTAGCCAGGTGAGTCATTTATACCTAAAACTTGCATGTGTTCCAGGACTGACTAGCCTGGGACTTCGGTCCAGCCGGGCCCAGGGCTCAGCTGTCTGAGCCGCGACGGCGGGTGGTACCTTAGCTTCCCGGCGCTCTGCTGAAACACAGCGGGAGCTCAGCGCACCCACTCCGATGGCAGGTCATTTCTGGCTCCTGAGAACGTTCCTACCGCTTTGCCATGTTTGGGGTCTTCTCCCAGGGGTGTCCGACCTGCAGCCCAGGATGGTCATGAAACTGGCCCAACACAGAATCGTGCATTTACTTGAAACATGAGACTTTTTTTGTGATTGTGTCGCAGGGATGCCAGAGGACTGGACACCCCCCGTATCTCCATTTTTTAAGAAGAATTGTTCTTAAGAACCACCGAAATATACATCCTAATGAATACCGCCTTTCAAAATAGGCCTGGGAAGTGAAGCACTAATTCCGATTTTGCTTCAGTTCAAAACACCTTTGGAGCTCAGCTGGCAGTGCCTTCGGCATCAACTCGTGAGTCCCACAAAAAAGCCGTGTATACCCCTCTGTCTCGACCAAAACTTTATTAGGCTTGGATCTGAATTTTTTGGGACTGGAAGGAAAAAAAAAAAAAAGCCAAAATGGATTACCAGCATTGAAGACTTTTTAAAAATGTGTCACAAGCTTTAAGAAGTTCCACACGCTCTCAGCAGGGGCGATGTCACTAAAGAATTTGCTGGGCTGCCCACGGTGATGACTCTGAAGAAGGAAACACTCGCCTTAACTGTAGGTACTAGGGTGGCAGTTAAACCCGTCTGTTGTGCTATTTACCAGTCACAGTCACACACACAATCAAAGTTGTATTTTATTTACATAACTTATGAAGTAGATTTTGAAAACTGAAACTGTTTTTCCCACAAAATACCTGACAAATTATCACATTCTTCGTTCATGATATAGTAACAAATCAGTTTTAGAAAATTAAATAGCAGTGTAAAGCTAATTATTAGCATTTATAAACCGGTAAATTTTTTTTTAAGATCTTAGTATAAACAAAAGCACAGACATCGGTGAAAATGGAACTCGAGTGAACCTCACTGAAGAAAATTAAACATTCTTTCCAACAGATTCACTTTATATTCACACTGCATGTGGTTGGCCCAATGTGGTTATTCCCCTTAAACAAACAACCAGCAGTTGAGCAACCAGCAGTTTTATCACTTCTATTTGACTTTCTCCCTAAAAAGCAGTCTATGAGACAAGGAGGGAGGAAGAGCGAGCTGGAGTCCCGCTCGGGTCCAGCTGCAGCACAGGGCGCTTCCCGCTCCTCCCTGTAGCTCCTGGAGTGCTTCATTTAGCCACGCGGGAAGAATTTATTTTCTTGATATCGACTTGGCTCAGAATCAACGTCCCGTTTTTGAATTTTCCAACCTGACCAATTCGTCCATTTGACAAAATACTGGGGGCCGATTTCTTCTTTTTGGATTTCCTACATTGAAAGTGAGAGGAAGTTACTAGAGTTGCCCTTACAAAGAGGGCTCGCAGCCCGGCTAGCCGGCCACCGAGGTCTGCTCCTGCAAAGCCCCGCCCCCTCCCACGCACAGCCGCCTGCCGTGCACGGCCGCCCCAAGTCCCGGAAACAGGCCCCTGCCCTCCTGCCTCAGGCCTCTGCGCTGGTTTCTTCTTTGTGGAAGGTTCTGCTACCAGATCTCTTCTGGCTGCCCCCTCCTCTTCACTCAGTTCTCACCTCAGATGTCACCTCCTTACAATGACATCCCAGTCCATCCCCAACTCCTACGCTTACGTGCCGGGCACCCAGTGGGCCCCCAATAGATACACACGTGTGGCCAGAACAGGTGACCAGCCGATGACATGTGCAAGCTCACTTGGAGTCCGAGAAAAAGGTTAAGACTAAAGAAGTCAATTCTGTAATAGTAACTCGAGGGGGGAGAAGAGGCACTTGATTAAAGGCCAAGACACACACTTAAGCAACAGAACTGGCATTCCGGTACTCAAATTACGGGGCTCCGCCTCGTGTGGCGTGTCAAAGGACAGGTGCTGCAGACCCAGAACGCACCGTCACATCAACAGGGGACACAAGTCTCTTGGTGGAAATGTCGACCTTGGCATTTCCACTGGTCGCCTGTAGTTTCTGGTGTTTGAAAATGGGAGACTGCAGAAGGTTCCCAATTCAGTCCTGAGGTCAGCGTCTGATGGTGGGCAACGTCCTAACTCCTATCTGCCCCCTGAAGGGCTCGATGAGGAGACGGGGAGACAGCGAAGCAGCTAACAGGCTAGAGACACCACATACACTCAAGGGGTTCTTTTCAGAACTAATCAACCAAGCAATGATATGGTTTCTCCATATCATTCTGCCCTAGCCTCTAACGGTGTCACTCACCTGTCTTCCTGCCCTTTCCTCTTCTTCTTCTTGAAAATGTCTGTGTCCTGGGCCTGATTTCAGAATTTAAGATAATATCTGCATCAGTACTGGACACGGAGATTCAAAAAAAGGGATGAGGTCTGCGATCAAAAGCCACTGAGATACTATTGATTTTAATATTTTTTTTGAGTAGACATATTAAAATAACACAAAGTTTCATCCTAAAACCTGTTCAAGAACGTGGAAGGCCAAGCCAGAGAGGACTGAGAGTAGGAACGTCCAGTCTGTTTCAGGCAAGAGGGAGTCTAACATCCATCCCCCTCCCTCCGCGCCTCCTGGCCCCCGCGGTGTTTCATCAGCCCTTGTGCAACTTCAAATAATTTAAAAAAAAGGGACCGACTACCGAAAAAAGATCAAAGTAGTAGTGGATGTTATCTGAACAGGAGGTGCTACTTTAAGCAAACGGTGCAAACATGCCAGATTACGTGGCTGCCATTGTAAAACGCTGCTGACCCGAATAAGAGGAGAGATCTGGATCCCGTAACCCTAGATCTGTCGGAGCAGCCCGGCCCAGCACTCCGCTGGGACAGTCCGCAGCCGCCCGTCTGTTCCAGTTTTAACAGCAAGAAGGCCGCTACACCTACCATTCTCTTTTCTTCTTCCTTTGCTGCTTTTTTTTCTTTGATCTGCTCCTGCAAAACCTTGTAATTCATGTAACTCTTTTTGGGAGGCTGAAATGAAAGAAAAGGGACACATTTTTATTGTGCACAAATGTCCCAGTGTCCCTTGCCCTGGCTGCTGCGCCCTGTCTGGTGACAGACAGCAGGGAAGCCCCTCACCTGAGCACCCAGCATCACCGCGCGTTCCCGCTCCAGGACGCGTTCCTTCCCTTTTCCGTACCCTGTGATCCCAAACCGGTGCACCTCCAGCCGCGCCTGCTGACACAAAGCAGAATCAGACCCAAGCGCGTCCCAAAAACGCCGCAGAGGAGGTCCACGCCCAGAGAGGCGTTTCAGATACGGCGGCCGTGCACCCGACACGCGTGTGTACCCTCCCGCCCTGCAGCGGGAATTCGGGGCCGCCGCCCTCAGTGCCGCGCTGGCTTCACTCGGACAGCGGACGCAGAGCGCGCCCTCCGCACCAGGCAGCGCAGGACCAGGAAAGATCGCGGAGCCCGCGGCGCGCCAGCATGCTCCCTCCAACACCGGCTGATTTCATCTAAAACTGACTTTCCGACTGTACCTCCTCACACCGAGGAACCACATGTCACAGCTTCAGACACAGACCCGCGTTTCCTCTTTAAAAAGAGATTGTAGGAAGAAGAGACGTCACCAATACCCACCCCCTCTTAGCGGCCGGATTGCTTCCTCCTTTTTCCCCGTGCCCTTCAGAAGCCTAGTTACAGTCACAGAGCGCAGGCATCCTGGCCTTTCCGACTCGCCGCCCGGGCAGTGGTGTCCTGGTTTCAAACGGCTGCATGATACTCAAAAGTGAACGTAGCGCTGTGCTTAACCACTTCCCAACCCTTGGACATGTTAACATATTCATCTTTTATGGCAGTATAAAGAGTAAAAAATTAACCATTTCAAAACCACATACCTTTTCTAAGTTAAATTCTTGTATATTCACATCTTTCTCAAGGATACTAGTTTTGGTCTGAAAAGGAAAAAAAAAAATCTTATTAAGATCATCTGTTACCACATCATTATAGTGTTTACTACCAACGGAGTGGGCATGTTTTCCAAAGCCCTGAACCTGGCCCGGATGCCTGAGCACCAAATAAAAACACAAGCGTGATGCACAGATTCCCAATTAGCACCTAATGGAATGAAAACAGAGGAAAAAATTTAAGGTCTCAAAGCTTAAGAAAGGACAGATGAGAAACTCGGGGAAGAGATGGTGAGAGAGACCAACGTCTGTACCTCATGTACCCTCTGCACGTGTTTGGTGGGGGATTCAGAAAAGGGTAACCGTGTGAACAGCGATGTTAGAGGATAGAAAGGTTATGTTTAAATCATTCTCTTTCTTTCTCTCGCGTCCATTCTAATAGCTAACAAAACTCAGCCATAGTGGAGATTCGGTGTATAATTCCCAATACAAAACAATGCTTCCTCAAGCCTTCAAAATATGACTCTTTCCATCTATATGTCCTCTGGCCGTGGTTACCAGGAAACTGTACCGTCGAGCCTGGCCAGGGACAGAGGTCCCAACTCAACCCAGCCCCAACCTGGCCGGCAGGACGCAGAGGGAGGAGGCCGCAGGGCGCCTGGGCAAGGCAGTCCTGCCGCGCTCAGCGGTGGGGCTGTGCTGGCGCGGAGCGAGGGCCCCGCCTCCCACCCCGGCGCCCGGCGTCCACCTGTCTCCTCGCGTCTCCTCCTCCAAAGGCGAGCTGCGCTTCAGCTTACCCCGCCTGTCCCCCACTGCGTGGCGGGTGTGTGTGTCAGTCACTGGCGGCGGCTTCCGTCTCCACGAGGGCCCCTGCGCTCACCTCCCGGGGACCACTGCCAGGATGTTGGATGAAACGGTGTAAGGGTGGGTGCAGCCCAGGTCCAGTAAACAGGAAGGCTTGGCCGGTGCTCTCGGTACCCACTAGCCCACCGAGGAGGAACCAACAGGCACCGCCGCACCGGCCACCCACCCTCACGGGGACGCTGGCCCGGACGTGCCGGGGGCTGGGTTCACAGCGTCCCACCACAGAGGGCGTCGGTCATGCCCTGGGCACGTGGCCCGGCTCTGGGCTGCCAGTCCCCTAGATGCATCGGCCACGTTGTCATGCTCTTATTATGCCCCAATGGTCTTCAGACCCACACAGGTCACAGAACCGAACGCCTTCACCGAGACCCTGGGCAGAGCACAGAGGCTGCTGTGCGGGGCTCCTGTGCACATCGGCCCCAGAAAGGCTGGTTTCCTCTTCTGCGGCTGGGGAAAACTCTACGTTGACTTTGAAGTTAGAGTATCTTTTCCACTGGCCTGTACATGTAATCTAATTGATATGATAAATGGTACTTCTAAGAATTAAATCTTAATGATTTCAGGATCATATCCAAATCCTCAAATACAAATTTATATATTTAAGAACAAGCACAGGAAGGAGGTTTGACTTCGGGTGGTGAACACACAATATACAGTTGGTGTCTTAAAGAACTGTACACCTGAAACCTATCTAATTTTATTAAGCAATGTTACCCCAATAAATCCAATTGAAAAAAGGCATACTGTTCACAGAGCTCCATAATCCACGAAACCTTTACTTCCTTTACTAAATGTTTAGAAAGGTCGCCCCTCCTTTCCTGCCTCCCATGGAGCAATGGCTACGCCACCTCTGCTGAGCTTAAGGCCTCTCTCAGGGACGCCCGACGTCTGGCGCTACTGGAGAGGGCGCAGCTGCCGCTGGCTGACCTGTCACGAGATGATCAGCAGGAGAACGCGGCGGTCCCAAGAGACCTGCGCACTGTCCTAAGGGCCTCGGCCAGCTGAGTGATGGGTCGCTGCGAGGCTGACACGCCGGGGCCCCGGGCAGCACCGGGCCCACAGAGGACGGCCCGCCTCCCCCGCCCCTGCTCCCAGGCCCCGGGCAGCACGGGGCCCACAGAGGACGGCCCGCCTCCCCGGCCTCTGCTCCCAGGCCCCAGGCAGCACCGGGCCCACAGAGGACGGCCTGCCTCCTCGGCCCCTGCTCCCGGCCCACAGAGGATGGCCCTCCCCCGACCCCCGCTGTGAGGCCCTGGGCTGGGGGGCCAGGGGTGGGGGCTGTGCAGACCAAGGGCAGACCTGGGGACTGGTGTGGCCAGACGTGGGATGCTATCTCAAGGTTCCCAAGCCCCTGTAACCCTTTCACCGGAAACGTCATTGCTTTGTAGTTGTTGATGTGTTTCTGAGAAAGGGCCTGGCTTCTGGATCCTTGTTTATATAAAAGCAAACATTTGGGACAAACTCTTGCAAATTATTTCTGTATGCCGAGACTATCAGGATGACCCAACCCTATCTAACATTAATTTTCACTCATGGTTTTACAACCACTTCGGTAGATTACTCACAACGCACTCCCTGATGCAGAAACAACTGGTAGCTTCCTTTTCTCCCCCCTCGCCCTCACTGTGGGGGAGGCACTACCGACCACCTGTGGGCAACACCGGGTCCTCCCCTAGTTCTAAGCACACAGACCTGGCCCCTGCTGCCCCGACAGCAGGCAGGACCACGTGGCGTTCTGTGGCCAATGAAGTGTGGACAGAGGGGAAGTGTGCCCCTTCCACGTGGAACCTTTATGAGCCATTCAGCGACTCCCCTTCCTCACCAAGGCGACCAGGAGCCTTCCAGAGGTGGCGCCCCTCTTATCCGGGGCCCCTGGATGAGGATGGTGCGGAGCAGAGCGCTCTGCCGCTGACAACGCTGACGGATGTGTAACGTGAGGGAGAAAATCGACTTTTGCTTTTAAAGTATTGAGATGTAGAGGCTATTTCTGATCAAACTATGGCCTGGCCTAGCCTGACGCATATAGCCTAACTGTCCCACACACAAGACAGAAAATGTTTGGAGATTTTGAGAACTTGTGGGTTAGGCAATGAAGAAGGAAGAAAGCTGTAAGAAGGAGGAAGCACTTGGGAGAAACGGGGAGTGGGGTGTGGGGTGAGGGTATGAAAGCAGGCAGCTCACAGGCTCAGTGACCTTGTCTACAGGCGGACTTGCCGACCCAAGGCATTTTCTCCTGCACTTACTAGGTTTTTCTATTCCATTGGTTACTCTAACTTTTGTTCAATTAGGGATAATTGGGTGAATAAACACCCTTTTTAAAATTCAAAAGTAGTTCTAGGAATACTGAGTAATGTATTCATATCTGTTAAACAAATGAAACAAACAGAGATCAGACTTGAAGGCTCCCTGAGCAGCCAAAGCCAGTTCGGTCACAGAAGCCAAGCTTAACTTAGCTGATTTTGCAAGGCAAGCGAGGCTAACCTGACCTGCGTCACTTGTGGCTCTTGCCTTTGAAAATCGTAAGTGAAACTTAAATTTGTCCCCCAAATATGAGATAACCACTAACCATCCCCTTCCAGTGAAGGAAACTCTGACATCGCACCCGATCGCGTGAAGAATAAAGTCGCTGCCTCCACGCTCGATAAGCTGCTTCAGAACCACATGCCTGAGTCACATTCTGGGTTTCAGTCTGAGTGCTCCAGGCTGTAGGCACCGCGCACCGCGTGTTCTTACTACTAACTTCAGTGAGTACTTCTGTTCGGATAAACTTTTGCCATCTCTTATTGAGTATAAATTACTCCCACTAGATTACTTTCTTCTCAACGTGTAGGAGACACTGGATCTGCTGAAGAACGGGGGCGCGGCCTCAAGTTAAAGGGGGCACTGGAGAAGGGAAGACTTCCGGGCAGAGCCCTGGGGAAGACTAGGCCGGCAGTAGGACCCTGGGGCAGTGACTTGGGACAATGTCTGGAGTCAGTGGTTCGGGACGAGAGCCTGTCCTGACCCCTATTCCGTCCCTCTCGTGTTAACTGTCACGTGCACAGCGTTTAAGGCAGAAGCCTCGGCCCTGATGCTGAGCTCGGGCCCTTACTTCATCACCATGGTCCTTCATCTGGCATCCCTAGACAATTCAGATGTTTGCACATTTTTAAAAGGTAAGACTGTGAATATTCTAACGTGATATACTACTTCCAGTGGGTCCCAAGCAACAACCCATAATTACGCACATTCGTATCTGTGCAGCATCTATGAATATTCATGCCAAATGGAACAAATGAAAATAATTCTGAAGCCTCCTATCAGTTCAGGTCAGGTTTTGCTGCCAAAGAAATTTCTACTAAACTTAAAAAAAAAAAAAAAAGAACTAAGTTGTGATTACCAAAGCTCTAGGGCTTTAGAACGATAGATTTGAGACTGCGGGTTACTGTTTAAATGCAGGCAAATCATTTAAAATGAAGGCAGGCCCCACGACTTGGAGGCTCCCGTGAGATAAGGAACAAAGGAGCACAACAGCCCCTTTCAGCGCACAGCCAGCACTGGTACGCACTGGCGACGGCCAGCCTTCCTTCACGTGCTCAGGAGCAGCCACACGGACCGCAGTCCGGCCCCGGGCCCGGAGCCCCGCTGACCTCAGCGCGCTGCTCTCCTGCTTCTGTTGGGCCTTTCCTGCGCCTCTCCTAGGCAGGCCACAGGAGGCTACGCTTCGTGACCAGGGGAGGGAATGGCCTTTGTCAGGATGGCCCTCTGTTAAGGGTGGAGAGATGGCACTTACAAGACATGTCCGTAAGGGCCAAGCACCACTTGGATTATTTTAAACCATCCGTGACACTGAGGAGCGCAGAATTTTCTTCTTTATTGGCCACACTGCAATACCCATTAAAGAGCGGGGTCCCCACTCACTCCTCAATTGCCAAGCCCAGGCCCCTCCGCCGGACCTGGCCCACCGCAGCTCGGTCCCGACTCGTCCCCTCCTGCTCTTGTGAGAGCTGACGGGTGATCTATTTACTAGCTGGGGGCAGTGTGCTCTTTTTAAATATAAATCCCCCCATTCCCTTACTTAAAAATCTTGGTGGCATTTCATGTTCCTGAAACTAAGCTCTGAAGGCCTCACTGTCACTCTCCCTTCTGTCCTCTGCCCTCTGGTCCTCCAGCTTCTGGCACCTTCCACAAGCTCCCGTAACAGAGCAGTCACCTGATGTCACCTCCTCAGAGACACCTGAAGGAGGCTCTGCCTGTTCCTCGCAGGACCCTGTGTCTTTCCTTCAGAGCGTTTCTAACTCTGTTTCATCGTATTATTCATTCTCCTGGGGTTTGCTGACGCCTCCAGTAAAGGAAGGGCCTGTAGCTAGTTTGCTGTTCTCTCCTGGGTCTGGCAAACAGTAGGCACCCAAATATTTGTGGAATAAATAAAAGAACAGGTAAGTGATCTCTTATCTACTATTTCCTGTCAAACTACTTTGACAGTCACTACTCTGTAAGTGGGACATGACGCCCTGGCTGGGTGGCACAGCTGGTTGGAGCGCCTGCCCGTACACCAAAATGGCTGTGGGTTCGATTTCTGGGCAGGGCACATACCTCGGCTGTGGGTTGGATACCCGGTCGGGGCGTGTACAGGAGGCAACTGATCGATGTCTCTCACACAGACGTCCCTCTCCCTCTCTCTCTCTCCAACCAATAAAAACATGTCCTTGGGTGAGGATTGGAAAAAAAATTTTAATTAAATGGGATATAACTAGGAAATTTACTTGTCAGTGGGAAAGGGTAAACTGTTATATAAATGACGGCCAAGTTCCCAAATGAACCCATTGCAAGGGGCTCTGGTCAGCGATTCCGAAGTTTAGGGGGAGGTCTCTCCGCACATCCGGCAAGCTGGGCACTGCACGATTCAGCTCAACGGCTCAGTCCTCCAGGCCCGCCCTCCACTTCAGATGCCAATCACCAGCCCAGGTTGTTGCCTGTGCTTCTGACCAACTGGCTAAAATTCAGAGATTCCAACAAACCCCTTCCTGGGTTCAATTAATTTGATAAAGCCACTCACAGAACTCAGGAATTGTACATACTTACCAGATCACTGGTTTCTTATAAAAGGATGAAACTCGGAACAGCCAGAAGGGAAGCAAAGGGTGGAAGCGCAGCAAGGGCATGAGGCAGTCACACCCTGCTCCACCTGCTCGCCCCCGGAAGCTCTCCCAACCGCCTCCTCACAGAGGCAGGGTTGATTAAAGCAAGCTCCGCTGGTGCCTGACTCGGCCTCCAGCCCCTCCCCCGAGGTAAGGGCAGAGGGACTGAAAATTCCAACCCTCTAACCACAAGGTTGGTTGCCACCCTTAGACGATTCCCAAAAATCAACTCATTCACATGCAAGACACCTTCATGACCCTCATCGTTCAGGAAGTCCAAGGGTTTGGGGAGCTCTGTGCCAGAATGGGGACAAAGACCAATCAAATGTTTATTACAAATCACCACATCACCCACGAAAACCTGTTTCAATACACAATGCAGTTTATCAATAGTACTTACAGCACGAGCCTAAGTTCCGAGAAAAGGTCACTTCCTGGGTCCAGGCAGGGCCGGCTGGACAGTTGCCCAGCCGGCCAATACCTCTTCTGTCCTCAAGTACTTTGCACTGATGACGAGAGGAGTCCATGACTGACCGACGGTGGCTGTTATTATTTTATCATATATTTGTGCTGATTCCCTCTCTGTTTGGACTGTCCTACTGTACCTTGTAGGCTTTTAGAGAGCCAGGGCACAACTCTGTTTTACCGTGTTATGAAAACTTTCGCATTGCATTATCCTAATATATTATACTAATTATATCCTATGAGCCCCAACTGACCGATCATCCCTTACCTGGCACTCCCTACGCCCTGGATGCGACATAACAGCTAGCACTGTATTCACCTGCATTTATTGATGTGGTGCAATGCCCACGTTCTAAAGCCTTTTTTTGTGCACATATGTTTTTTACTATGTCCATATTATGTCTCCTTAGCTAGACACATTCACATTTTCAGAGTTTAAATTTTAAAAAGAAGACAAGGGCAGAGCACCAAGGATAACTGGAACATTTCATTAATGTGACAAAGTCCAGAATGCAGAATGAGCTGAGGTTCCCGACAAAAGCCAACGACACCGAAAAAGGGCCCAACCGGAACAGAAAGAAAAGGACAACTCCACAGCCTCCTGCAGGCGTTCCACTGTTAAGAGACAGGGAGATGCAGACTCAACTCGAAGCCAACATTTGCCCTTTCTCTTAAAAAGAAAACTTTCCATTCCAGAAAGAGAAACACAGGTGAGTGTTAAGAGGATGGTTAAGTTCTCCGAATGCAGTTATATGGCAAAGCAGTGGCACAGGCCCTGGTCGGGTGGCTCAGTTCCTTAGAGCGTCGCCCCAGTGAACCAAGGTTGCGGTTCAGCCCCCAGTCAGGGTACATACGGGAATCAACCAATGAAGGCTTCAGTAAGTCGAACAGCCAATTGGTGTCTCTCTCTCTCAAATCAATAAATAATTCTTTTTAAAAAAAGGCAGTGATACACACGGGACACCCTAGTACTGGCATGGCACACAGGGGCAGCTGATGCTCATCACTGTAAGCTGCCCTGGCCGGCCAGCTTGGCCGAGGGGGTGCGTTTCCTGGCCTGCCTCTGACAGTCCCCTGCGCCTCAGAACTGGGAGCACAACAGTTGGAGGGCTGACCTCGAACCCTAAAACGAAGGCAGACGTGATTCCAGAACGCACCGGTCATCTCTGAGGAGGAGTGGCTGCTGAGCTTGACAGGAAGTGCTGCCCGAACTGTAAAAAGGACTACACAGGTGGGTCTTTAAAACTGCACAAAAGATGCGGTGAACACTGGGCACGTGCCTGTGCGCATGTGCTCATCAACACCCACGGAGCCTGAATTACCGTTGTCGTGGGGTGCACTGTGGTCTCCAGAAAGATACGTCCATGTTCTAATGCCCTTTGAATGTGACCCTATTTGGAAAAGGGTCTTTGTAGTATAGTTAAGGAACTCATGTTGAGATCCATCCTTGATTCAGGAGGGGCCCTAAACCAACAACAGGTGCCCTAAGAGGAAGGCAGAGGAAGGTCTGAGGCTCCGACACACAGGCCGAGAATGCCTAGCACCACCAGAAGCTGGAAGCAGCAGCGAAGAACCCTCCCTTGAGAGGGGATTATGGTCCAGCCAACACCTCCAGCACAATACTAAAATATCTGGGGAGGGAGTATCTGTAGAGCAGTCCTAGAAACTAGAACAATCCTCTTTTATGATGGACAAACGTGTATCGGATATAGAGACCACTACAGAAATGAAGTATCTGGATTTCAGCAACGAACTTGGCAAAACCATTACAATATCCTTGTGAAAAAAGTCACTGAGGGAATTTGGAGTGAGATGTACGGATTCAGTCTGAGAAAGAGCGCTGCTCAGTAAAATCAAACTGCTTCTCATCAGAATGCACGTTCCCTGAGAGCAAGGAGCTTGTGTATTGTGTCCAGTGCTATTATCCAAGAGACGAGAGCAGTCGCCAAAAAATAGCGGTTGAGTAATAGTTTTCTCTGAACGCTCTCAAGCAGGAAGGGTCACCGCGGCGGGCTTGGGTTTATCAAACCCCGCGCGCTCCCAGGAAAGCCCTGTGTTTGTGGCTGGCCCTCGACTGGCTCCCGGGGATGGAGCAATTAGAATGCCCCCTCTGGAAGAGTGTCCTTTGCGGCGGAAGGCTGGACCCGTGCGGCACCAGATCTGCCCAGCAAGTTAATACAGCCGTCCCCACTGACGGTTGCAAGCCTCCCTCGCGGCTGCCTGAAACACCACAGCGCTCAACTCGACAGACACAATGCCTTTTCCTACACAAACACACCTCTGATGTCGTTTAATTTATAAATGAGGCCCAGAAAAGAGACTAGCAATAACTAATAGTACATTGTAACAATATACGGTGATAAGAGTTACGTGAATGTGGTGTCTCTCCCTCTGATAACCAAGCTGGCGACTACGGCAGGGAGCCCCACAGTGTGGACGGATACTCCGGACAAAGGGACGACGCATGTCCCAGGCAGGACGGCGCCGGCCAGGGTGAGGCTTTCCGTGCTCCTCAGAATGGCGCGCAACAGGAAAACCATGAATCGTTTATTTCTGGAACTTTCCACTTAATATTTTCAAACCGCGGGAAATTGAAACCACAGGGAAGCTGCAAATAAGGGGGACGACTGCACCAACAATGAGATTCATGGTGAGTCCCTGCTCCCTCACTGGGGGTCCCGCTCTTCACGAGGGTCAGCCTGTACACCTGTGACTGGCCCTCGATAAAAACCCTGGACAGCCAGGCTGCGGGGAGCCTCCCTGCTTGGCAGCACTTCCCACGCGCTGTCACGCACACCCCCGGGGCCATGAGGCCCACCCCACGCAGCTCCACTGGGAGGGGACCCCCAGACGCCGCACCCAGTTTCCCCCAGACGCCACCCCAGGCACCTCTTCCCTTTGCTGATTCTACCCCGTATCCTTTTGCTGTAACAAATCAGAACTGCGACAGGGACTCTGGGCTGAGCCCTGAGTACGACGAGAGCTTTGGCAAATCCTCGAGCCTGAGGGTGGTCTTGGGGACCCCTGACAAACTCTATAAAGACATTCACCTAATACTCAAATGTCAGGGTTTTCCCCCTATACATACAAGCTAACCAACTCATTACCTTTGTGTTCTCGTCTTGATCGGGCTTCTGTTTTCTTTTTTTATTTCTGCTGTGGAATTCTACCACTTCCACCCGCTCCCTGTTGTTCAGGGGAGCGGGAGCTGCTGCAGCACAAGGGACCTGGGGTCCCGCAGGGGCACCGGCGGGGGTGGCGGCAGGGGCGCACTGCAGCTCTTCTCTGAGCTCCGAGAAGAAGGTAGAGGCGCCCTTCCTCTGGCCTCTGGCCAGGGAACCCGGCGGGGGCGCTGGCTCCGCCCCCGAGGCCACCGGCGCCTCCACATCCCTCTTCTTGTTTTCCCTCTTCTTCCTGATTCGCTTCCGTTCCGCTTCATCTTCTGTCTCTCCTGTTGGCTCACACACGAGAAGGAGAAATAAATATTGTTGGTTTTAGCTACCACCCATATCAAATCATGTGAATGTATTACAGACGTGCCACAGCTAGAAACACCCAAAGATATGCACACAAAGAGAACCAATTGCTTTTCTTCAAAGAGGGTTGCATTTGCACAGTTTACAGAATCCAAACTGCTGAGTATCATTTCCCTAAGTAACTATACTTAGGTCGTTAACTCTTATTAGCACAGTTATTGTAGTGCCGACCGTTGTCCCTTCTAAAAAGCGTCGCCACAGCAATAATCCCAGACTGGGAAACCTCGTTGGCTCACGCTTTGTTCTAGAAATCGCAACCTGCGTTTCCTGTTAACACTTTCTGGGGATACAGGTACGGATTATAGTTTTGCTATCTTCTTTCAGTTGTGAATTAAATGAACCCAAGACTACAGGCTTAATTTGAAGGCCTTTATTTTCTACTAAATCCCCAAAGCTTCTCTCTGTTTCACCTGTTCCAGTTGTGACCACTCACCTGACGGTTCGGACCAGAATTCTGGGCCCCAGCCCTCACCTAACAGTACAAACGCCACAGAGCTCTCTAAACAGCAGCTGGTCATTTACGGTGGCTCCTGTTTGCTTAGTCTTTTAGTCGATAAACACTTACCAAGAGCCAATTAAACTCTGGAGTTTGGGATATTACGACGAGCAGTTAACAGCCTGTGGCTCCAAAGCCTCATTTCCATCCTACGTTCACAGAAACTCTATCTAGGATTTTGCAGCTTAGGTTTTCCCTTTAGATTTTAAGCTTCTCAAGGTCCGAGACTAAGTCCCTTCCGTCCTCCAATATTCCCAAGGGCACAGAGAGGCTCTGGTCACAGGACAAAGTCAATACAAGTGCAGGGACCAGAGCTAGGCTGTCTACAAACTGGAACCTCGACTCTGCGGATCACCAGCCACACGAACTTCAGAAAGGGTTTTAATATCTAGCGCTTGTCCCTACACTTGTAATAATGGGATTATTGACAGTATCCACTTTGTAGGGATGTTGGGAAAATTAAATGAGTAAATACATGAAAAGCACAGAATATGTGGTACATTTTCAATACTTTTTAGCTATCATCTTTACTGTTTAACTGAGCTTAGAATGTTGAGCAATGGCTCCAAAATAAAACAGTCTTTGCAACATCATGCTACAAATTTGAGATGACGTGTGGTGCAGGGACAAGGGGTGTCACGTTCCTTCCCTGGTGCAGTTCTTCGGACTGTGTGGACCCGTCTCGTGCCGTGTCAGGCGGCTGCCAAATTATAATGGCAAGTTTTATTTTCCTTTCCCCGCATCAAGATAAAAGAAGGGAAGCATAAGCCGGCCAATTTAAGGCTGAGAAAAGCTTCATGTGAAAGAAAACGTTCTCTGAAGTCCCTGCCGAGGGGACACTCTGAAGGACGAAGCCTGGTCGTGACAGGTGGCACTAACTAACGTAGGAGGGTCAGCTGGGTCTGGGGAATGGCGAGGCGAGGGGGCTTCGCGGACGTCCGGAAACCGTGGCCTCACCCCCCGCCCCCCGCCCCCGTTAGGTCTGAAAGCCTTGGTGCTTCCTACAACTAGGTTGGTCCCCACACTAAGGACGTCCTGAAGAATACACAGGAGGCCGCCCAGTTTGCGGCGCGCAGCAGACCCCCGGCTCCACGAGTCGGCTCTCCACGTGCGCTCCGAGGCCCCGCACTCACCAAAGTCGTAGAGGTTCTGGAGCACGGCGTCCAAGAGCTGAGAAGAGGGGGGCGAGGAGGACGCCGGCTCCTGCTCCTGCTGCAGCGGCATCGCGGGCTCGGACCCCGCGGGACACCCCGGAGCCCGCCGGGACGCGTGAGCGCGACGCCCCCCGCTTCCGCGTTCCACCGGCTGCGCTCGCGCCGCAGGTCCCCTCGCGGCTTCCGTCCTGGTTAAGATGGCGACGCCCGGGGTCCCGCGGAGCGGTCGCAGTGGGTGCCGCCGCCCTAGGCGAGGTCGGGCCGCCCCGCGCGGAAGAACCGCCCCCAGCTGCCACACCACCAGCGCCTAGCAAAGCATCCCAGGCCCCGCCCGGGACGGCAGCCGCACCATGGATTCTTCCAGTCCATCTAACTCCTGTTTTTCCGTCGGCTCCACCAGTCCCGGCGCTGTCGTGCTCCTTTACTCGGTAGGCGCCCAGGGAAGCGAGGCCGGGGGTGGGCCCGAGAGGGGACCCCCTTTTCCCCGTCCCCTTTTTTCCTCCGGACCACGATCCCTGGCCCAAAGGCGTGGGTCCCGACTTCCCCGAGGAGGGGTTGGGTGGTTGACTTGGTTTCCACGGCAACGACGCCTCGCTGTGTGTGTAAATGTGTGTGTGCTTTTAGAAGTTTGTACCGGTAATGGTTCCTCCGGTTCCCTCCCACCCGTTCCCTCTCTCTGCCTCCCCTGGGCGCTGGGCCTTTAGGAAGCCCCAGCCTGACTCGGGAAGGAGGCGTGAGTTGGAGGCTCTGCATCTCGGACGAGGGCGAGTCGGGCTGCCTTTTGGGCGAACCTGAGGAACCTGCAGGTCCTCCCCAGCCCGCCCCGAGCTCCCCAGCCCGCCCTTGTGCTGCTCCTGTATTCCTGGCAGAAAAGTATTTGGCTCACCTGTGGGCATAGAGTTTTCACGACTTGAGGCTTTTCTTAATCTAGGAAGATATGGAACTTACGGAAATTTGTATTGCCTGGTTTTGTCTTCCATTTGTCATTGTACTTTTCACACAAGTCATTTTGGAAGACAGTTAGTGGCACCCAGCCTCTCTCCAACTTGCCTTTTCACCCCCAACCCTGTCTGTCTGTCTGTCTCTCTGTCTCTCTCTCCTGATTTTAACCAGTCCTTTTATTTCTTTTGCCAATAAAACATTTGTTGGTCACAATTTTCATCAGAGCTTTGTAGCTCTCAGGATTACACAATCCTAGGGTAACTGGCCTCTTTTTTAACCACTAGGTTAATTTTTGTCTACTTTAGGAGGAAATAAAAGAGTGCGTTCTAATGGTACCTTACTCTGCATGTCCTAAGCGGTTAGTGTCAGTTACTGACTTAAACATAATTTTAATTTGTGTACGGAGGTCAAAATAGGGAAAACAGAAAAACGCAAGATAAACAGAACAAAAAAAAAAAGTTTCAAGAATGTGGCTACCTTCAGATTGGGCCAACAACATTCCTTGGAACATGGGGAAATTTCCGCTCGTGGCAGTTGAGAGCACTTCATTGCTGTTAATGTCCACTTCTCTCACCCGGCTCCTCGTGGGCCTTCTCGCCCCACAGTCCGCGGGAGGAAATATCTTGACCTCTCAGCGTGCGGCTCCAGCAGGCGTGTGCAGGGAATGCGGGAAAGAGGGCTGCCCTGGAGCTCCGAGTCACCGTAGGTGGCTTTTTCGGTCCTGTTGTGCGTTGAGCACAGTTTTTTCCAGGAAACAGTTCATATTTCACTTCCCCATTCACCAGTGGCTCTTTACGATAAGACTTTTGTCAACTTCTCAGGTGAAAGACCAGGGCAGTTGTAGAAGAGCTTTTCTACTCTGACTCTGCACGCTTCTTGTGACTGCGCGGTTTTTACTCATAACCTAAAGTTTTTCTTACTATTTTAGACTGTCCTTGCTTCTTGAGCCACACACTGTTTGTGCAATGCTCTATCTAACCTGAGAGTCATGTCGGAGAGACTTAATTTACTGCTGAGTGCAACAAACAGTGCAGCCATGGGTATCCGCAGTATCCTTAGTTGTCATTCCCGGTGTCCAAGGTATAGAAGTTAAAGAGCCAGCCCTTGCCTCAAGGACTTCAAAGGAAATCACAAAGTAGGCAAATAACTACAAAGAAGAGGGGTACGGGCAGCGGCTGAAGCCTGTATAGTGTGTAGTGGGAGGATGAGAAGGAGCACACGGACCCATCTGGGGACTCGAAGAGGAGGGGACACTGCGCTGGGTTGTTGAGCTGTGAATGGGAGGTGAGGGAGAGGAAGCTGTTCTAGGCATCGATGTAAGGGAACTACTCCCTTGTGTGTTTGGGGGAACCGGGGAGTTAGGTAAGGGTCGCATAGAGGGGACATGAGAAACAAAGCTGAGGAAGTAAGCAGATTATGTTTCCTAAAGAAATTTTATATATCATCTTTTCACACGCATAAGGATAAAATGTTAATTTTGTAGGGTGTCATTTAAGGGTGATCACTTTTGTACTTCGCGGTCTAAGAGAACCGCTTGGCTTCGAGCATGAGTACCCGCGTGAGGAACACCCCTTCCGCTACTTAAGTGGACACCATAGAAAGAGAGTCCGCCTGGGGAGGGAATCTGATGCCTCCATCATGGAGATGGGCCCGGGCGCCTTGGCAGGAACCCAGAGAAAGGGAGACAGACTGAGGGAGGCGGTGGAGGGACTCTGGGGACAAGGGAGGGGGCAGCAGGTGGTGGCCGAGAAGGAGGAGGCGGTCTGAAGTTGTCTCCCGGCTTCTGAGATGTGGCAACTGGGCGGATGACGGCGTCCTTCGCCGGTAGGATGTGCAGTTGAGAAGCAGGCTTAGCCGGGGCCATGTAATACTTGGGGCTCTGTTCCACCTGAGATGTGAGAGGCAAAGTGAATGATTTTTAATATGTGGATTATTATGTTTGGGCCAGATACTTCACAAGAGGCTCGGGAGACATCCAGATAGCGTCAGAAATAGTCGCAGAGCAGCCAAGGAAGGTCTGGTCTAGGTATGTCGATTTGGCAGCCGTCGGCAAGTAGGCTGTATCCAAAGCCACAGGTCTGCTTGAAACCCCTCAGCGAGAGGAGACCACAGAACGAAAAGAGGGATGGGGGTGGGTCATCGCTGGCATACCTGGCGTACCCTCCACCCAAACTGTGGCTTCCCTGTTTGGGTCCGAATGAAAAATCTCAGCTCCTTATAATGTGCTCCACGACGCTTACATCACCACGTGACTGCTACCTCAGATTTTACTTAGCGTGTTCATTGGGTTACGGCCACGCTGGCTCTGTGTTTCCCAGGCAGTAAGCGTGCTTTCTTCTCCGAATGCTCATGGTCCCCTCTGTGTGGCTTGCTGTGTTTTGCTCACATTTCTGGCTTTTTCATTATTGAGCACAAACAGCCCCTCCTCAGAGAGGACTTACCAACCATTCCTCTAACGTAGCGCTGCACTCACTCTTTCTCATTAGCTGCTCGATCTCATTGTCCTTATGTTCTCCCTCCAGGGTCGGCTGCAGTAGTCTTGTACTTGCTGTAAAGCCGATCATTAAATTTTCATGACGTTTTCAAGCCCATGGTTGAAACCCAGCCATTATTTAAAATTAAAGATTGAGGGGGCAGGTAGAAGAAGGTATCGGGGGATGGTGAGGGCATGAGACTCGACTTGGAGCGGTGAACCCACAATACAACATACAGGTAATGTTTTCAAGAATTGTCTGTCTGAATCCTATATAATTTTCTTAACGTATGTCACCCCAATAAATTCAATAAAAAAGAAAAACATAAAGATTAAGTTGTAAATTTACTACTAAATAAATCCTGTTAAAAATAAAAGTAATACGTACTCAAAGCCCAACACTTCCTACTTATTTCACTAAGTTGTCCTAGTGGTGCTTTCGAGCCTCTGTGTGTCTGCCTACCGTACCATCAGGTGGAAAGCCCGTGTAATGGGGGCCGTTGCAGCTCTCCCCCCAACTGCATGCTCAGCGAGGCTGTGCAGGCGGTTTGCAATCTGCCAGGGTGGGAGGATACACACGTCACAGAAGACGGCAAATGCTGGAAGTCAGGGCTCTCCCGTAGTCGGACATCAACTGGCAGGCTGCTGGCGGTGGAATCCCCAAGGGAAGCAAGCCCCTTGTTTATTTGCTGTCTGTCCTTCCATAGAGGGAGAGCCCTCTCTGGGCACATCCCCAGTGCACTGTGTTTCTGCTGTGTTCTCAGCCTGTGGGACTGCACCCGTAGTGGGTCTCAGTCAAGGTCTGGTGAAGGAAAAGGAAGTAGGAGGAGCGGCCTGTTTGGCTATCAACTAGGAGGGGCCTCTGTAAGATAATTATGACAGGGAGGACAGACCGTGGGCGGAAAAGACTTCACCCAAGGCTCCTTACTCGGGCTCCTCCGGGTTGTGCTCCTGCGTGAGCAGTCATGTAGATAATATTGATTTTAGGATGGTAAATACTTCTCCAGCATGGTATTGGGAAGGACAATTAATTAATCAGCCCGTGCTTAGGAATCACGTGGAATACTTTCAAAAATAATTCTGATGCCCAGGTACCACTCACAGACCAAATTAACCAAGAATCTCTAGGGGGCCTGGGCATCAGTATTTTTTAAGTGTCCCAGGCTATTTTAATGTGCAACCTGGGTTAAAAACCGCTGGATTAGACATTAGGTTAGGGCCAGATGGGCAGAAGTTTGAACTTGAGCCTGCAAAATAAGGGAATCGGCAATAGCATTTAAGAAGTGCCTTTGCTCAGTAATTTATCTTTTCATTCTATAATGCTGGAGTTCCTGCTAGGAACTGGGAATACAAAAATGTACAAGGTACATTATCTACCCAGGCAAGAAGTTCACAGTGCTGTCGGTGGGGTTGGGGCAGGGGGACACCAAATACGAGTTTAATGACTATTTTAGGTGCCATCACGAAAATGTATTGAAGGTTCAGTAAAAATTCAATGGAGGGGATGACCGGTTCGGTCTGGGCTTAGGGAGCATAGGCAAATGGCACAGGAGGTGAGCGGGAGCTGTGGTTGACGGCTAAGTATTTTCCAGGCAAATGGCAGGGAGGGCCAGTTTTCAGTGCCCACCGTGCACCTGGCTGCTCCTAAAAGAGACTGAGCTGTCTTGATCCCTAGTGGAACCCCAGCACATACCACAGTGCCAAGCGTACAGCAGGCGCGCAACCATTTCACAATGAGAGTTTTTCTTAGAGGTAGCAACCTGAACGAAGTCGTGGGGAGCCATGAGATGCCGTGACTTGCTTAGGGACCTGCAGGTCTTTGTGTAGCTGAGCCGTTGGAACAAGGAGCGCGCTCGGCGGGGCGGGGTCGTGTGCTAAGAAGTGTGGGTTCAGTCCTGCAGGTCACCGAGACCCATGGAAAGATTGCAGATGATATTGGACAAACGTTTCAAAAAGTGCGTGCCTGCTGCTCTCCCGTGCCGGTTCCCGTCCTGAGGACTCCGGTCCCTTCACCGCCTCCCCACCTGGCCCCTCTTTCTCTCTCTCTGCACATAAATACGGGATTGTCCAAAACATGCATAGGGTTTTTTCCATAAAATGAAAGACACTTTATTGATTTGGATCTTTTGAGCATGTCAGCCGTCTCCCACTATTGGCTTCTGGTGGGTAGAGGCCAGGGGTGCTGCTCAACATCTTCCAATGCATGAGACAGCCCCACAGCAAAGAATCATTTGGCCAAAGTGTCAATAGTACCAAGAAACTTTGCAAACCACTTTTGACACATCCAATCAGTCACAGCACCTTCTCCAAATACTGCATAAATCTTGTGTTTCAGTTGCATTTTCACCTTTCTTGAAATAATAAAGCATAATACACTGAAAATGTATATTGTCTTCCATCTTTAATATTAAAATGGATGCACAAAAGTTCGCCAATTTTGATCATTATTTTTAAATGCACACTGATAGAACAGCTGTTACAATGCAATCTAACAAAATTGTTTCAAATGAATTAAAGACAGCTAAGCACTACTAGAGCCATTGTAAGGGAAAAAAATGTAACATTCTTTTGGTCAACCCAAAGGATAAATAGATATTCCCAGCTGATTCGGGCTTTTTTCTCTCTTCTTACCCCCAGGATCACTAAATGAAAAGTCTCCAAGACTTAGTAGTTTGTTGCATTCTACCGAGTCTGAGCCTACATAACTGTCTATTACTTTATGAATGAGAAACGTGAAATTTGAGAAGGTTCTCCGGCCCTGTAAACAAGACTATGTGACCCACTGTGACTGCAGTTTTACACCAGAGCTCCAGCAGTTAGATTTTTTCTCTTTCCTATTCTCTGTACTTTATGTTCAGATTTCCATATTTCACAGGCTCCTCTTTTATAAAAACTCGAGTGCTCATTACTTCTATTTACACTTTTATTATGCCTAATCCTGGTCTCAGTTTAACGTTCTCTATTTCTTTTCTATTACCACAACACGTGGTCACTCAGTTATTGACCAAACATGCGTATTCCAGACATGGCTCAATGGGGTAACTACAAGGAGGACATGAACCGCCCTGTCCTCAGGATGGCTACAGTTCAGCAGGGAGACAGACGTGCAAACGGTCAGCGTTACGGGGCGCGCTCCACAGTGGGCATGCGCAGCGGGTGAAGGAGCCCTAATGAGTAAGGCAGGGTGATTCCACCCGGGGAACAAAGGAGGGTTTTCACCAAAGAGTGATGCCAAAGCAAGGCGGACAGTGGACAGAGGGTGTTCCAGGCAGCGAGATGAGCCCGTGCAAAGGCCCAGAGGCATGGCAGCCATCACCTGCGCCGGGCGAGCACACATCGCTCGCGGTTCGGTGGCCCGTGGGGCGCAGTCGGGGAGGAGTCTGGAAAGGAGAGGAAAGGCCACCTCACCGGTCTCCAGATAACCCCAGGGGTAGCGGAGGTCCTACCCTGAAGGAGGCAGGGAGTCGTTTAAGCATGTTAAGCAGGGGCCAGTATTGTGTGTTCAGAGGAGTGCCTGGCAGCGTGGAGAGGGCAGAACAGGCGAGGAGACGAGTGAGCGGGCTGCTGTGGTAAGTGTGCGGCGGTGCCCTCTTAAAGGCTGCGGTCACCGGGTGCGGCGGACTGGGTTTGTAAAAGGTAAAGCGGAGGGGAGGGGGGTCAAGAATGATGTAAATGCCATGTAGATGGCATGGCAGTTGCTGATTAAGATTGCAGGAAAATAACCGGCTTGTAGGGTAGTGCAAAGATCAAAAGATCTCAGTTTTGGAAAGGCCAAGTGTGGAGTGTTCGCATCAAAATACGTATCTGCGGAGCTTCGATGAGGGGAGAGACCAGGACAGGAGACTCAGAAGCATCGGCAATTGGTATTTTTAAACCAGCAGAGTAGGCGAGAGTAACAGGTGTGGAGTGAAGAAGAGGTTTGGCGATGTTAGCATATTAAAGGAAGTGGGTTGAGAATCCCCAGAGAAATGAGGTGGATTTTCTGCTGCAACAAGAGAGCCACAAGTTAAAGACCAAGGTGGGAAAATTTCAGGGTGGGCGGAGGCTGGGACAGGAGGGAGCACCTGCGAAGGGCGTCCTGCCGCAGAGGCCTGGGAGGGTGAGGGCTACACAGCGGCCGGGGTTTAATGATTAAATTCGGAAGAGATGATGAGCTTGTGGTGCTTTTTAATAGTGATGAATGAAAAATAATGTGTATATCCAACGTAAAATAATACTGCGGAAAAAAAATGACACGGAGCAGCGGTTATGACAGGACGTGCAAAACTCAGGTGGCAGAGCAAAAGCCTGCGTGGTGGGCAGGGCACGTGTCCACATGCAGGGGAAGCCATGCACCAGAAGGGGCTCTGCGTCCCGGGAGGGCAGGGGACTTCAGTGTTCTTTGTGCTTTACCACACTTTTATAATGGACATGTATCACTTTGGTAATTAGAAAAAAGTATTCTAATATTAGAATATTCTAATATTCTAATATAAAAATATTTTTAAAAGTTAGGGAATGTAAAGGTGATTATGCAGCCACTGAAATGTTTTAAATAAATATTTAATAGAGAAGTCCTCAATATAGTCAAAGAGGCAAGATAAACTGAGTATAGTCCATGTTTTGAACTTTAAAAACGTGTATTTGCATATCTATGAGTGAAAAAATAAAGAAACAAGGTTAAGAGTAGTTATTCCTGGGGTGTAAAATTGTGGGCAGTTTTCACTTGCTTATATGTCTTCATGTTTCCAAGTCTCCAGAATTACACACGGGTCAGTGGTGGGGTGGCAGGTAGCAGCAAGGCCTGTGAAGACCTTCGCCTCCAGCGCGGATCTCCTCCCCGCCTTCGCGAGCCCTGGGGTCCCTTCCCTGTGCCTTGGCTTCCCCATTGTAAGACGAGAGTAATAATCCTGCCTCAGAGCTTTCATGGGTTTGTTGTGAGGGTTGTTCCTTTTTAAAACAGGTTTTAGCATTTAAAAATAGGATTGTTCTTTAATGGGTATAAAGTTCTTAGACTAGTGCCTGACATTTAGTAAGCAGCTATGCGTGTTAGCTATAATTTTTGTTACTCTTGTGGCTTTTGTAATCAGAAGAAGGAACTTTTAAGAAGTAACAGTGCAGAAGTCATTAGCAGCCTGATTAGCAGCCATTTCGGGAGCTGTGGGTAGAAGCTGAATCGCAGCCGAGGCAGACGGCTCTCGCAGCCTGTGTGGGAGCACTTGCTTCTCGAGTGAATCTTCCTTTTGTTGGCACCCATGTAGTTTTATTCAATTGGACAAAATTTTGTGTTTCTAATGTATGCTTCGATTTAATTTTTAAAGCTAAGTTGGAAAAGCAGACAGAGCAAGTTTATCAAAGTGATTGACGAAACCTTATAAAATTGGTCAGATTATTCTGCAGCTTACTGTCTCATCTTTGCTCTTTGTTAACCTTCCCAAAGGGGCCCTGGCTTTACAAAGATAGCAGTCAGAAATATAAAAATAAAAAATATTGTGATTATTCAATATCGGTGTATTGATCCCAATTACCCTTTTTCTTGGTATATGAAAATCTAACATCTGATCACTCTGCTCTTGTTCATATGTCACAGAATAAGAATTTTGGTAAAAACGAAACCTTCCAGGTATAGTCCCTGATCTTCCCTAATTTATTTTACAGTGTGTGCATTGCTTTCTCTCATTTGCCTTATCCACAGAAGGAGCTCAAAAAGTGGGATGAGTTTGAAGACATTTTAGAGGAGAGGAGGCATGTCAGCGACTTGAAATTCGCGATGAAGTGCTACACGCCTCTTCTGTATAAGGCGATGGTCCCGTGCCAGCCCAGCGATATTAAGTGTAGCGTCCTCAATTCTGAAGAGGTGTTCTATGTCATTGCACAGGTGAGCGATTCCCTCTTCAGCCCGATTTGCTCCTTGTCAACAAGTTCTTTCCCTTCTCGATCCTATGACTGTATTTTGCTATCTTTAATATATCCTTTTCGCTATATTTGGCACATTCATCCAGCGTTAGCCATAGCTGTAATGTGTGTTAGCCTCTCGGCTAGACAGGGGGACCAGCGGTGAGCAAGCTGAGCGAAGCTCTTGACCTCTGAACTCTGAAGTGTGCAGCCTGATAGGGAACGATGACAGTTGTCTCATCAATTGGGTACAGGACATGCTGGTGGGAGCCTACTGTGCAGTCCCACTAGTGACATGGGAGCTAATTTTGGGTAGAGAGTTAGAGAGGGATTTTTTTTTTTTTTTTTAATGAGGCCTGACATGATTAGGGGCATTCGAGGCGGAGTGGGTGAAAAGAGTATTTCTGGCTGAGCAAATACTGGTGACTCTTCGCCATGGTTTCAAACCTCACTGCACATTAAAATTACTTGGGAGCTTTTAAAATTCCTGCTCATTGATCTCACCCCATACACAAACCACATCAGAATGTCAGGGGAAGGAAGCTGGCCGTCGGTAGCCTTTAAAGAAGCCGAGGCAATTCCAGAGTGTGGCAGAGTTTGGGGACCACCAACTTATTTCATGGACCAGAGAACGTGCATATTCGCAGCACTAAAAGCAGTTTCGTATGACCAGACCAAAGAAGAAAAGAAGGAGCAACAGTAAGAATTGAGACTGGGGAGGAGAGCAGGGCCTGTGTCCCGAAGGGCTGTGTTGACCCCATGGAGGAATTGAATTTTGTGCAAAGCCACTGAGAGATTTCAAGTTGTAGTGGGTGTGATCCATTTATGTTTTAGAAACACATTTTGCTAAATGGAGACAAGAAATCTACTTACAATGCTCTTGCCATAATCCCTTTGTGGGATCATAGTTCCAGGACTGCTAAGTGGTTGTAGAAACAGAGAAATGGACAGACTGAAGACATTTGAGCCACTGCTGCTGCCGCAACTTGAGCTGTGTGCCAGCGCCTCCTGACTGACAACTCCACCGCCACGGTGGACGTGGAGGAGCACGGCACCGCGGGGGGGCTCGCAGAGGGAGCCAAGATCCGCGCGGACGAGAGTCAGCGGGATGAGGGCAAAACGTTTACTGGAGGCTTGAGCTGGGATACAGGCTAGAAGGATTTGACCGACGTTTGTCTCAATTTGGGGAGTTGTAGACCACACAATTAAAACAGATCCCATCACCAGAAGATCAAGAGGATTTGTATCTGTGCTTTTCAAAGACGCTGCCAAAGCTTTAAAAGGGAAGGGACCCCTGCCCTGGCTGGCTGGCTCAGTCCGTTGGAGCATAGTCCCATACACCCAAAGGTTGCAGGTTCAATTCCCGATGAGAACACATACCTACATTGCCAGTTTAATCCCCAGTCTGTGTACAGGCAGCCAATTGATAGTTCTCTCTCACTTCAATGTTTCTTTCTCTCCCTTCCTCTCTTTCTAATATCAATGAAGATATCCTCAGGTGAAAATTTAAAAAAAAAAAAGAGAAGGAATCCCCCCAAAAAAGGTTTTTTTTTGTGGGTGGATTGAACCCAGATATTTCTAAAGAACAAATTAAAGAATATTTTGGAGCCTTTGAAGGACTGAAAATATTGAACTTCCCCTGAATACAAAAACAAGTGAAAGAAAAGGTTTTTGTTTTATCACACATATGGATGAGGAGCCAGTAAAGAAATTGTTAGAAAGCAGGCATCGTCAGATTGCTTCTGGGAAGCGTGAAATCACAGTTGCCCAACCCAAAGAGGTACACAGGCAGCAACAACAACAACCGCGCAGGCACGGTGCCAGTGGCTGAGGTCAGGGCCGACACTGGGACCGAGGATTTAGTAACTGTTACGATCCACAGCCTGGAGATTACAGTAGTGCCTGTGACAGCGACCACAACTCGAGGCTCTGATCACACTGGGCGTCGCCTCGGGGACGGTGGAGGTGGACTGGGCTGTGCAGGCTACAGCGGCCAACAGAGCGCTTTAGGGCAGGGCGTCTCCGGGCGCAGCCATGCTACAGGGGGACACGGGAGAAAACAGCCGGGGACTGCTCGAGCAGCCCGCCTTGCAGGGCGCCGTTGAAAACTGGTCCTCTGTTGCTCTAAGGTGACTCTTTTGTAGAAGACTTTCTAGTGTACATGACACAACTGTGTCCGACTGTGTATGGCTGCCCGTTCTGTTTTTACTTCTTCCTTTGTTATCTATGTTACGATTCAATGTGGGTTTGTGTTTACACGAATTTTATTTGTATGATTTCATGTTAAACCTCAAATAAATGCTTCCCTATGTGATTGTTTTTCTGTGTCCGATACTAAATAGCTCTGTAAAAGTGTGCTTTTAAAGAAGCACTAGTGAAGGCACAGTTTTTTTGTGTGAGGAGAGTCGGCCCATGAGGAGAAGCTGTGGTCCCCTGCGTAGCCAGCTCCGGTGTCGCCCTGCCCCCGTGTTCGTTAGCTGTGGTCTGTGCTCCCAGTCCCGCTTCCCTGTTCACCGAGGCTGTCACACCCTTGCAGATGACGCGGCCCCCTCTCTGGGTTTCTGGAGACGTCGCCATGGAGGCCTCCGCGGCCTAGGCATGACACTGTGGCTGGTGGACGCGATCTGGTGATCCGTGAGCCTTCTAAGGACTGTCTCCTGAGGGAAAGTACCCCTTTAGTGGCACAAAGCATGCTGGCAGCTCCTTTTACGAATAGAAAAGATTGTTCCTTGTTCCTGTCTCTGGAGAGCCATTTGTTATGATTTGCCAAATATTTCTCACTCAATCAGTGGTCTGTTAAAAAGACCTTTAAGTGATCATAATACCCTGACTTTAATGGTTCTCTTGCTAAAAGTCCAGATGTGCCCAGGGGAAAGCACTGTTAAACTGACAGGAGCTACGGTTTGAGTATCAAAAATAGTTACATTCTCACACAAGGATTTTGGCAGGTAGGTTTGAGGTTATTAAAATTAGAGCAGTGCCCTGACTGGTGTGACTTAGTGGGTTGGGCGTTGTCCCACAAACTGAAAGGGCACCGGTTTGCTTCCTGCTCGGGGCACACGCCTGAGTTGCCAGCCAGGTTCCAGGCTGGGGCCATGTGAGAGGCAACCGATAATGTTTCTCTCCCTCTCTCCCTCCCTCCCTCCCCCTCTCTCTAAAAATAAATAAAATCTTTAAAACAAGAGAGGGTTCCCTTGTGAGATGGTTGATTCCACTAATTATCCTTTGAGAGTTTGGGGGTCTGTGCCCGTATCCCGTATATCTGATGTAGCGTGGGTGGTATTTCAGTGTGACCTTGTCCTTTAACCTTGAGTATTACCTTGTAATGGCACTGAGCGAGCAGATGAAGTGCTGAGTCTCCTGAAAGGTTCAGCTAAATGTAGATCTAGGGCCCTGGCTCCTGGGTGTAAGCTTATTAACACGTCAATTGGAGAGGTGGGATGTTCTCCTGGCTCCCAGATGCTGTCCGGCAAAGCCGATGCTCCTTGAATCTCTCGTCTTTAAACTTGTCTAACTAGGATCATTTATCTACTTTGGTTTTGTTGGAAAATAAACTGTGTCCATTTAAATTAAGGAGAAAACGTACCATTTTTGAGTTTAAAAATATCGGTCCATTTAGAACCGATTTGAGTAAAAATAGCTCTGGCTTCTTTTTTTAGAATGTAACCCTGCTTTCTCTTTCCTTTCAGCTTTCCAAGGAGTCCCTCCAGTCCGCGGACACCCTCCGAGAGGAGGCGTCTCAGATCTTGGATGAAATGAGCCACAAGCTGCGTCTGGGAGTCATCCGGTTTTTTGCCTTTGCCCTTAGCAAAATATTTAAACAGATTTTCTCAAAAGTGTGTGTAAATGAAGAAGGTATTCAGAAAGTGAGTATTGCTTTGTAAAAAACAGTCCGTTCTTCACCCCCTCACCGCTCGGCCCGCTCCGCGACTCCTCGCCCTGCACTAAGCGGGCAGGCCTGGTCATCAGGCCTCCGTCTGGCAGGAGAGGCTCTGCCTCCGGAGGACGGTGCTTGCCCCTTTGACCTTCAGACTAACCTACTTAGGTAAGACTGACAGACGAAGCGGACGCCAGGCGCTCACAAAGTTACAGAACTAAAACCAACTCTACATCGGCCTCCCGTGGATCCCCTGCATTTCCTTTGCCCTTTCCTCAGCGTTCTGGTGTGTCTTCCCTGTAAACAGGACATTCTCTGATGGTGCAGTTACCAACATAAGCAAACTCACGTTAACACAAGAGTACTCACACGGCCTCAGTCACGGGTCACCCGCTGCCCCGTTCTAGCCGCACAGGGAAAGACAGCCCCGCCCACACGCTGTCACCTTCCGCTTCCCCATCGCTGCAGGCTCTCAGTCTGGGACCGTTCCTTAGTCTTTGTGTTTCATGATACTATTTTTGAAGACAGCAAACCAGTTATTCTGCAGCGCTCCTTGATTTGGGTTAGAGCGGTGTCTTCTCACTCTTAGACTCGGAGCACACCTCTGAGGCGTCATCGTGTCCTCGGCATCAGAGCAGCATCCGTGACGTCTGTCTGTCCCACTGCAGGGGAGGCGCACTTGCCGCAGTTGGTCAAGGCGGTACTCGGCACTTGCCAGGCTGCTCCACTGTAAAGTTAATATTTTTCCCTTTGTAATTAGTGAGTACCTTGTGGAGAGATACTTTCAGAATTATCACTGATTTTTTCCCCCAAATCAGTTATTACCGTAATGATTGCCAAAATGGTGATTTTTCTCATTCCATCACTTCTATTATTTGTTTGCTTTTTCCTGTGAGGAGAAACTTTCCTCAACTTTTTTCCCTATGACTCTTTTTAGGTTGCTGACTTGGTCGCCAGACCTCTGCCAAAGAAGGATCGGCCTGTGTTTTGGGCCAGGGCATGTTGGCTGGCCATGTCTTAACTGGGACTAAATTTCCTCAGTGTATTTTTAGGTTGTGGTAAAATACGCAGGACATAACACTTACACCGTAACCACTTGCCTCAGTTAGTCATACTCGGATTTCAGGAAAACAGGCAACCCATCGATGCCAGTGGCCGGCGCTGAGGTCGACGGCCTGAGGAGCAGAATCGGAAGCTCAGATGCATCCCTCCCAGCCCCGCGGCACCCCTTCTCCCTGGCAAGATCGTTCCTCTCGTTTGTCCTGAAATCTCACAGGCTCTCTCTCCACGAGGGAAGTTTACTCTCTTCCCGTGGGCGGCCAGCCTGGCAGCAGTGCACAGCTGGCGTTCTGATTCAGAGTGACTGCAGCTCTTTTCCCGGTGCTGCCATTTATTAGACACACGCCCATGGCAGCGCAAGGCGGCTCAGGCCCTTCATCAACGCGCGGCATTAAACAACGTGTGTAAATGCTTGGCACATAAAACGCTTCGTATGAGGCCCAACGAACACACCTTAGTGACCATCGCCGTTATCCTAGGATCCATAAAAATTTACGCTTGTAATACTTTTGCCTGACATGAGACTGTTCAACGAGAACTCTGAAGTAAGTGTCGTGTGTATAGTAGGAGAAGCAGAAAGACAGTGTTAGTGTTCCCTCTGTGCACACCCACACTCTCCCAGGTTCTCATTTGAGATATGATTTCAATAATAGGAAAACCATGATTATTGTAGAGTTGGGTATACTTTTGTTAACCAGTGTCACCCCAATAAATTCAATTAAAAGAAAAAGAAAACTGAAATTATTAAAATGTCGCCTCTTTTATTCTAAAGCTCCAGCGAGCCATCCAGGAGCATCCGGTCGTCCTGCTGCCCAGTCACCGGAGTTACATCGACTTTCTGATACTCTCCTTCCTTTTGTACAACTACGACTTGCCCGTACCGGTCATAGCAGCAGGAATGGGTACGTACTGCTTTCCTACCTTTTTCAGTTGTAAAAATCACAGCGTGCGCTGGACCGACGTCACCCATGCCCCGGTGCGGGAGGGGCTGTGAGGGGAGCCTCCCCGCTGCGGCGCAGGGTGCCGCCGTGCCCGCTGCGCTGCGCTGGCGCAGGTGCAAGCGCTGTGCACGTAGAGTTTCTGGTTGGGGTTGAAAGAGGGCATGATACTCCCTTTATGTGTCACCTGCCTTTTGCTTTGTTTAATTTGATAATATATTAATGACTACAGGCTGATAAGTCAATCTAAATTTATTCAATATATTTTTAAGTTGTAGTGAAATACACAGAACATAACACTTGCACCTTAACCACTTCCAACGCACGGTTCAGTGGCGCTAATTAAGTGCAGTCACGTCGCTGTGCTGCCGTCGCCGCCACCTCCTCTCGCCAGGCTGAAGCTCCGGCTCCGCTAACCTGTAACTCCCCGTCGGGTGCTCCCCCGAGCCCCTGGCAGCCATTCTGTTCTGTCTGGATTTGACTCTGCACACCTCATATTAGTGGAATTACACAGTATTTGTCCTTGTGTGACTGGCTTATTTCACTCAGCACATTCACTAATGTTTTCAAGGTTCACCCACGTTGTAGCTTGTGTCAGAATTTTCTTCCTCTTTAAGGCTGTATAATACTCCACTGCATGTACACATCACATTTTGTTATCCATCCATCCACTGATGGCCAGTTGGGTCGTTTCTGCTTTTTTGGCTGTTGTTAATAATGCTGCTGTGGACACAGATGTACAACTATCTGTTTGAGTCTCTGCTTTCAATTCTTCCAGTGTATTCCCAGAAGTAGCATTGCTGGGTTCTATGGCAATATTATTTTTAATTTTTTGAGAACCCCCATGTTGTTTTCTATAGCGGTTGTGCCATTTTCCTTTCCCACTAGCAGCACACAAGGTTTCAGTGTCTCCCCAAACTCCCCAGCACGTGTTATTTTCTGTTGTGCATGTGTGTGTGTCTAAAACAGCCATCCTAATTGGTGTGAAGTTTTGCAGTCCCTAGTGATGTGATATGGAGCATCTTCTCATATGCTTGTTGGCTGTTACTATATCTTCTTAAGATAAATACCTATTCAAGTCCTTTGCTCATTTTTAAATTCCCTTGTTTATTTTTCTTCTTGTTGAATTGTAGGAATTCTTTATATAGTCTGGATATCAGCCCCTTGTCAGATATGTGATTTGCAGTTATCTGCCCATTCCGCGGGTCAACTTTCCTCTGTTGATTGTGTCCTTTGATGCAGAGAAGTCTTTAATTGTGATATAGTCCATTATCTGTTTTTTTTTTCTTTTGTTTTCTGTGTTTTTGGTGTTATATCCAAGAAGACATGGCCAAATCAAATGACATCAAGCTTTCTTCTAAACGATTTATAGTTTTAGGTATTACATTTAGGTCTTCGGTCCATTTTGAGTTCATTATTGTACATCGTGCTAGATAAGAGTTCAACTTCATGTCTAAAATTTTTAGTAGCTATGTAGTATTCAGTAGCGTAGATGTGTAATGCTTTAGGTTTGCTGTTACAAACAGTTTCACAATATGTTTTTATAGCAATGCTTTTATTCCGGTAGTAGTGATTCCCAAAAGTAGTGTTGCTAAGGCAAGTAAATTATTTATGTATCATCTTTCAAGGCAGCCAAGGAAGCGGGTTTAAACGTGTACCTTTGTTAATGAATGCAGTGAACAGTGAGGTAAAAAATCTGCTGGGACTTAAGCACTTTAAAAGCATTTTCATCTGTATAGACATGTGAGGAGCTTATTGGAAAATTAGGGAAAAAGAAAAGGACTATTGTAAAACCGATGACAGATCCTCTCCCGTTACTCCGGGCTTGCTCTGTCAAATCTGTGCCTCTAAAAGAAGGTGGATGTTTTTACCGGATGGGGGAAAAGGAACGTGAGAGCTTGTGTGGCTTGGCCGCCCAGGGCGCGGAGGGCACGCGCTGGCCTCGAGTTCAGCGGAGCGCTGCCTGAGGGAGTCAGCGTGACGACATCGGTCACAGCTGTCACGTTGCCTGCTCTTACCCTCTGCCTCTGGCTGGTCCGGCTGTAAACTCAGAGGTGCATGGAGGCCCAAGGCAACCTCCTGGCGAGCACCTGCCCGCAGGCTCCCTTCTCCAAAATGCTATTAGATGTCTCTTCTTGGGGATTTTAACCTCGGAAAGTATCATTATTAATACCATGGGGTGTCTTACATTCGTGAAACCTTTCTTAATAGAGTTTGAGTTTAGACTTTTATAGAAAGTGGCAGCTCTGTGAGTCAATATTGACCCTTCTTTGCGGTTTAGACTTCCTAGGGATGAAAATGGTTGGGGAGCTGCTGCGGATGTCGGGCGCCTTCTTCATGCGGCGCACCTTCGGCGGCGACAGACTCTACTGGGCTGTGTTCTCCGAATACGTAAAAACCATGTTACGGGTAAGCACAGACGACTGCCAAGTACTTTCAAGCTCTGCTTCCTTCTCACTGAAGTTTGCTATGAGATCTTGTTTAGATTCTTCACTTCCCAACGGGCCGCGCAGGCATCACCTTCCCCTGAAGGAGCGTGCGGAACGCGGCGGGCTGTTTGCTCTGCTGCAGTTTCCCTGTGCACCGCACGTGTTCACAGGGCTGGGCAGGAGCGGGGGAGGGAAGCAGGAGAAGCATTCCTCACTTGGAGCATAGGCAATGGGTTTTGTGTTTTGTTTTGTTTGTTTGTGTTTTCTCTTTAAAGAATGGTTTTGCTCCTGTTGAATTTTTCCTCGAAGGGACAAGAAGCCGCTCTGCCAAGACATTGACCCCTAAGTTTGGTAGGTCACTTACAGACCACAGGGAAAACACAAGGCCAAAGGCTCTAGGTCCGGTGTCACATTAGCTGCTAAGTGGGACTTGACACTTTTTTTGCAAGGTACTGTTTTCTTTGTAAGTGTAATTGTTCATGGGCTTGGCATATAATGGACACTTTTAGTATATTCCTGTTTCTGTACTCTTGTTTTCAGACTCTTTGATATTTATGAAAAACCGTTTCTCCCTACGTTTACAGGTCTTCTGAATATTGTGATGGAACCATTTTTCAAAAGAGAAGTTTTTGACACCTACCTTGTTCCAATTAGCATCAGTTATGATAAGATATTGGAAGAAACTCTTTATGTGTATGAGCTTCTTGGGGTTCCTAAGCCGAAAGAATCGACAACTGTACGTAAAGGATGGCCAACCAGATTTTATTGGAATTTAGAGGAAATGCCAGTTGACGCATCAACTGATTTCCTAATTTTCTTTTTGTTTCCTTTTCCCCTGTTGTGATATGGTTAGGGACTACTGAAAGCCAGGAAGATTCTCTCTGAAAATTTTGGCAACATCCACGTGTACTTCGGAGACCCCCTGTCACTGCGATCCCTGGCGGCTGGCAGGATGAGCCGAAGCCCATATAACTTGGTTCCCAGGTGCAAGGCTGGTATTTTCGTAACTGATACAGAAACAAGGATGAGAACCGGAAAGCGTGAATTGTTTTTCTGGGCTACCTCTGGAACTGAATCTTAGTTATTGAGATTACACAATGGGAAAGCACAAAGCCTCAATTAGAGAATTATGTGCTTGCCAAAAACAATTAGCTGCGGGATATAGATGTCAAAAATGCAAGGTCAGACAGTGTTCATTCTTCTCAGGGGAGCCAGTGCCCAACTAGCTGAACAGTGGGAAGAAGCACGCGCTGTTCCCGGGACTGTGTGGGAGTGGTCGGCGATGGCGGCCAGCCAGCGCATGCGCTGAGTATTCGTTTGGACCCCGGACAGGAACGTATAATAATAACGAATGGGAGTGACTTCCTGTTCTCGAGAAGGGTAAAGTTTTATGGGCAAGAAAATGAATTAGGTTCTTTCACGAAGCAGGTGGGATACACATTTAGGTTTCCTTAATTAAGAGCAGTAGACCTGGGGAAGCAAGAGAGACAGAAGGCATCTGCCCGGCCAGGGAGCACGGGACCGCGACATCATTCATAATATATCGGCGCCCCCGGCAGCCCCACGGCAGCCAGGGGCCTCGCTGGCAGCGCCGTGAGCCCTCAGGGCAGGTGCCCGCTTTTGTCGTCACGGGCTTGCTCCCTGCAGACCTCAGATTGCGCTGTTACTAGTACAGGGCGCCGTCACCGGCCACAGCTTTTATATGAAGCCACCTCTTAGACGGCTCGCTCTTAGGTCAGGTGTGACTTCCTGCCCCAGCCAACTCTGTGGGTTCCCAGTGTCATCTGATCAGTTTGGTGACCATGCTTGAGGACCCTGTGGGGCGAGGGTCGTGGCAGTACTGGGCGGGCGCCCTGAGGCTTCTCAGGAGGACAGCGTGGCCGTGAGGCAAACTGGACGTCTGTCCAGTGCAGACATGAGCAGTTACCCCACGACTGGATGCACGTGGTCCCGAGAGGTGGTCTCGGTCCTGCGGGCCTGGGGATGACAGGTGGTCCCTTCTGCTCGGTCGTCCGGAAGGGGTCTGGCCTACTGAGGAAGCGACAGACGCAGAGAGAATAGGACCCTGTTTCCTTGAGTGTTTTTATCACCTGCGAAGACCCCGCCTGAAGACCTGTGGAGAGAGTAAAGCAAAGGAGGGCATCCTGCAAGGTGACCTGGGAGAACTTGGTTGGCAGGAAGTCTGAGAAGCCTTCCAGGGTCCTGTCCCCTCCCGTCCCCTCTCCCTTCGCACTTGTCTTGGCAGCAGAACTGTAACTTGCCCTGCGTTCTGCCTTTCAGGTATATTCCTCAGAAGCAGTCGGAGGACGTGCATGCCTTCGTCACCGAGGTCGCCTACAAAGTGCAGCTTATGCAGATCCAGAACCTGGTGCTGAGCCCGTGGGTCCTTGTCGTTGCTGTCCTGCTGCAGAACCAGCCGTCCATGGACTTCGACGCTCTGGTGGAAAAGACTCTGTGGCTGAAAGGCTTAGCCCAGGCCTTCGGGGGCTTTCTCGTTTGGCCGGGTACGTATGTGGACCATACGGGATGAGAATGTGGCTTCTTTATTTCTTCATTTGGAAAAGCTGTAGCCCAGACATGAAAACCCTGCCTAGAACTTAGAGCAAAGCATTGTTCGGAGAGAAAGAAAACCTCCTCTGTCCTTATCGCTACAGGACATTGGTTTTTCTGAGAATAATTGTTTACACGTTGTTTCTCCCCACGGGGCTGTGTCCTGAGGACCAGAATACAACCTCCTGGGCACCTAGTGGAGGGGAGAAGACAGTGAATTCTGTTGTACTTCACATAGCTTCCCCCCGTATGCAGCTCTTTTTAAACCATATGGTACTCGTAACCCGTTTGCCTCACTGGATTGTAGATATTAATAATGACTGTGAAAACTTCACTGGAGTTATGAATACCATGCTGGGAGTTGGGGTGTGTACGACAATAATTAGCTCAAGTTGTTTTCAGTCTCCTTGATTTAAGATTATAGAGACTGCAGCTGGCTATGCGGTCCTTTTAAGACCAGGAACTTAGGAACAGCCAGGCACCTGGACAGCCGCTGGATCCCACCGGCCTGCGTGCCGCGGGGTCTGCACTGCAGTGCGTAGGTTATGCGAAGCAGTCGCAGATTTTAAGCAAGGACGGAGGGCCACCTTCCTTTAGAAAACAGCCTGGCATCAGTTTCAAGGTGGACTGCGGGGTGGGGACAGGGAGGCACGCGGGAAGGGCGCTGTGCCAGACGAGAACCTCAGAGGCCTGGGCCACGCGGGCGGAGCTGAGCGGCATCATGGAGGGACTGCTGACCGAAGAGGCCATCTGCTGAGTGTCGGTCACCGCCAGGAAGTAAAGATGAATTAGGTGTCAGTTCTCAGTGTTTCTAATAGGGGGCAGAGGGCGTGCTGATTCTAACACGAGGTAGAAAGTCGTAAGACGGCCAACCTCGTAACTCACATTTGGCCCGGGAACATGAGGACAGACAGACGCCTGTCTTTCTAAGTCATGTCACTTTTTCAAGATGCGATGAACACGTGGCCAATCCATAGCTAAGAATAGCTACTTGGCCACTAAAATAACTCTTAATTATTATAAAGGGAGAATCCATTGGTATATAAATACAGTAATAGTGTGGTGTGATTAAACAGCATTTCTAATTTAGAATGTAAAGTATATTCACTTTTTTATTTTTAATCAAATTATTCCATAGTCCTAAACTCTCATATCTAGAGCTTTTTATGATATGTATCATTATATAACATCATATTGTATTATATACGTAAAATGTATCATATACAATACAGGGTGGGGCAAAATTAGGTTTCCCGTTGTGAGTCCGTGAAACAGTTGGCCCTGGTATTATTATTTTTTCATTATTACTTTCCACACAAACAACTGCAAGCCTACGTCTGCCCCACACTGTACCATCATGCACTGTGTCGTTCCCACCAGCAAGCTGTGATGAGGCGCATTAGCAGGGGAACCATGTGCCTGCCAGGAACACTTGCTGAACGTCACCGTGTCTTCATTACACCTCTGTGCTCTGAACTCCTCTGTCAGCTCCAGGGCCGCATGGCACCTGCCGACGGGTTACCTGCGCTGTTGTGGGCCCACGTCTTCAGCTGCCTCCGATGCGGGAAAACCAGGGAACCCCTGCCGCGACCCTCTGTGCTCAGGGAGGCCTGAAGCTGGGGGGCTCGCTTTGCGTCGCCCTTTGGTTCCCTGTAAAGTTGCAAAGTGATATTCTTGCCACCTTGGAATTGGTCTAAGCAAAGCGGGGGAGGGAGGTGTGTGTGTGTGTGTGTGTGTGTGTGTGTGTGTGTGTGTGTGTAGCATGTTTTAATATGTACGTATAGGCTTTCTTCTCATAGCATTATTAAATTCACATATTATGATTTTTCTAGTCAGGTGACTTGAAGCTCTTATAAAACTTTGGTACCCTTGGTCCTTGAGGAAGTATTTGTTTTCAGAGTGGGAACTGATAGAAATTTTGGAATGGCTGTCAAATTTGGGTTGGGTATGTTACATGTCCTTAGCGAGAGAGTTTGATTTTTGAAATAGAACTTTTAAAGCACTCCATGCAGCCCTGGTCGGTGTGGCGCAGCTGGTTGGAGCATTGCCCTGTACAGCAGCAGGTGCAGGTTTGAGTCCCAGGCAAGGCACACGCCTAGGTTGCGAGTTCGATCCCTGGCCGGGGAGCATACAGGAGGCAACCAGTCAATGTCTTGGTTCCCTCTCTCTCTCGCCCTCTCTCTCATCAATATCCTCGGGTGAGAATTAAAAACAATAATTAAAGTAAATAAAGTATCCTTCATACAGAAGGTCATCAGCGCAATCGGTAGAAACCGAGGCGAGAAGCTGGCATCCGACTCGGCAGGTCGGGCCGCCAGCGCCGACGGCAGGAGGCCCCGCAGCGGCCGCCCGTTTGTCTGCCGGTTGCCTGAACGCGTTGTCCTGTGTGCAGATAACGCACCCGCGGACGAAGTGGTCCAGGCCAGCATCCTTCTGCACGCCAACGTCGCCAGCCTCGTCAGAGACCGGGTGGTTCTGAACGCGGACAGGGGGGACTCGGACGTGGCAGACGGCCTCACCCACCGGCACGTCACCCTCCTCATGTGCTCAGCCTACAGGAACCAGCTGCTTAACGTTTTTGTTCGCCCCTCTTTAGTAGCTCTGGCGCTGCAGATGGCACCTGGGTTCAGGAAAGGTAACCTTGGGGAATGTGGTCCTGAATTTTGGAAGAGGCCCGGCCATTCAGTTCTGCGTCGGGGGGGCGACACTTGGCGCCTTTAATGCTCAGCCACGAGCGTGCAGCACACACACCTGCCGGTGCCGGGGCCTGTACACTCGGACGCTAGGTTTCCCCCGAAACACGTGGCCATCTGCCGAGAAATCTAAGGCTCTCCTTTAATAAATATGGGAAATTAGGCCCAGGAAGTTGCATAGTCACTGAGGGGAGGATCTGGGACTGGAGCAGAGCTCTCCGCGCCCCAGCCAGACGCATTCCTTCTGCCCTGGCGGTTCCCTCGCCTGACGGGCACGCGGGATGGACAGACACCCAGCAGGACAGCAGTGCCCGCCAGATGCCCAGCAGTGTCCTAGTCACAGCGCGGATGTGCCCATGAGTAGGACACGGTTTTTGTTGCCCGGAGCCTGTTGCCAAGGCCGGGGGTTTCTGCCTGGGCCACACAGTCGAATTACTGGAGGGTGAGCCCTGTGCCTAGACGTTCTGAAGCAGTTGGTCGAAGCTCGTGGGTGACTCCAAGGAGAAGTCGGAGTAGGGAGGTGCCGGACTCAGCTGGACCTTCGGCCGTGGGAGGAGCCTCGGAGGCCCCATGTTCGTGCCCTCAGTTTGTGACTGAGGGAGGAATTGGGCCCAGAGAGTTCAGAGGACTTAGCGCAGGACACAGACAACTTGAATCTTGATTTCAGTTGTGCTTGAGCTTTCTTACATCACAGTTTATCTATAACTAAGGGCGCACACATTGTCCGAATTCGAGGGTGATATAAACACCCTGGCCCTGGAGGCGGTGTCTGATGTTCATCCGCACGTGTGTGTGTCTCTAAGGAGAAAGTTCGCAGCACAGGCCAGAAAGAGAAGGAGGCCTCTGTAGTCAGTGGGCAAGACAGCCCTACACATCAGGAGAATAAGAGAGTGTTTTCTGTTGTGTGCTCGCATATTCTAGCGTTGAAGATGTGGTCAAGAGATGGGAAATAGGCATTCAGAAGGGACAGAGAAGCCCATCTCCTCGCTGCTGGGGGCCTGCGGTCAGCAGAGTGACGTTCCCTAGTTTCTAAGGAGTGTGGTGTCTTGCTCATTCCAGATGACTGATCAGAGGCTTGGCTGTAATTTAGCTTCAACATGAAAACTGCTAGACTACAGTTGGCTCTGTGGCGAAATTTGGATAGGTTATAGCTTTCATTCGGGGCCTTAATTCAAATCCCTGATGGGTGAATAAAATGCCTTTGAAATGTTGCATTTTGGGAGGTAGCATGGACTCCTTGCTGCTCCCTGAAATTTTCAAAAGCAATGTTGTGATCTCTGCAATGAATGTATTTCCAGAGGACGTCTACAGTTACTTCCGCTTCCTGCGCAGTTTTTTGTCGGAGGAGTTCATCTTCCTTCCAGGAAACGAGCTACAGGTAAATGCTGGCAGCCGAAGAACAGCCCCGTCCGCGGCGTGAGGCTGAGCGCTGGGCGTGGGCTCACAGCGTGCCTGCCCTTTCTTCGGGCGATGCGGCAGGACACTCACAACTCAGCAAGCTCTAGTTTGATTCTTGGTTAAGTGTAATCAATAACTTAGGGATTGGTGAGAAGAGGGCCACTCTTGGAACGGTTAGAGCAGCCACTCCGAACCAGTCAGCTCTATTTTGCAAAAAATGTACCAACCGGCACACATTTTCCTGTCAACAGCTTGTTGGAATGAGCAGGGCCTTCTGCTCGAAGAGGAGGGAGCCCGCTTCGGCTGTCCGTGCGGACAGGGGCTGAGCCTGGGCACCGGGGACTGGCCGGGACACACGGCAGGGGGCCGGTCTCCGGAGGCTGTGCTGAGCAGAGCCGGGGTTATGCGACAGAGAACGCTGGCAGGGCTCCAGCTTCTGAGCGAGTCCGAGTATTTTAGGACTCGCTGTGCGCACTGCCTTTTTAAATTGAAATGATGTGGCTTTGTAAAGTCAAAGAGAATCCATCCCCCAGGCTCTGATTCTGCAGACTCATAAATTTTTTGTTTGCTGTGTTTGAACAAATGCTGCGGTGGCTACTAAGTAACAACCAGACCCCCCCGCCAGGGGCGTGGCTGGTGTTCACGGTCCGGTCAGAGGGCGCCTGGCTGCACACAGTGGTGCGCTGACTGAGCCGTGCCCTCTGTCTCCTTCCCCTTTCAGGACTTTGAGGAAGGCTGTCACCTGCTTTGTAAAAGTGAGACCATTCACGTGACAACGAGGGACATCGTAGTTACAGAGAAAGGAAAGACTGTGCTAGAATTTTTAATAGGACTCTTTAAACCTTTCATGGAATGTTATCAGGTATGTAAATCTTTCACAGGTTCTCTGCTATTGCTCCTTTCCTGCCCTGTATGTTTCTGTGCCGAAGGGCAAGTGTCTTCCCAGCCGAACAGGAGACCCGGAGAGGCCGAGTGCTGGCACGGGTGATGTTGCCTGTCAGGCGAGACCTCGCTCCCTGCGCGCAGGAGACTCGGTCCATGACAGGCAGAGAGGTCGGCAGCTGAGTGCTACCTGAGGGCCCGCCTTCCTGTAACCACAGTGATGCCCAAGCCTTGTTGCTCTTCCCTTACACTGTGTTCCTTTTGGCAAGGTGTTTGATACATAGTAGGCACTTAGGAAATGCAAGATTTGAACGATACATAAAGTCAGTTGGAAGGGGGAAAAAAGTTCAAGTGCAAGTATCTGAAGGTTTGGCAGAGCTCTAAGGAGCGACTAGGGGCAGGGGGTGGCGTCTGCGTCCGCAGGGATGGTGCCCGCATTCAGAGGGAGCAGGCTGCGGGGGAGGGAAGCTGTCAGGGGCCCCCGCCTGTGTGCAGGAAGAGGACTCCGTGGTCTTCAGCCTGTGCGCTGGCAAGGGGCGCCCGGGAGGGACCCCGGCGCCGGTGCCACAGTCTGTGATGGAGCCGTGTAGCCCACGCACAGTCTCGCCCTTAGTGGGTATTGGAGCAACACTGTCACTACCTGTACGCACTTGTCTTAGTAGAAATCACCAAATATTTTAGGGTCTAACATGTTATTAGGTCTTTTTAGAGAAAAGGTAAAGTTACAAAAAATCTGGTCCCTCTCTTCCTAAGCAGCATGAGCTTAATTAAGCTGATAGTAATTTACTTAAGTTGCAGCCCATTAAAGTAAGAAATTATATTTTAATAAATGTCAGTACTCTTGCAAACTTTTTTCCCTAATTGAACAGCGATACGAGCTCAGTAGCATGCTTAAAAATGCTGCGGCTTTTCTGTGCTCAAACCTGGCCGGGTGTAGTCTGCTCTAACACGGCATCTTATCTCTTAAGCGAGGTTATGTAACATGATCTACTGTTCCGTTGTATCCGACCACCCTTTTCCTCTCTCTGTTCTTCTCCTCCTCCCTCTTAAAATCAGGTCATTTGCAAATACCTCTTGAAGGAAGAAGAAGACTACTTCACCGAGAAACAGTACTTAGCTAGAGTTAGGACGTTCACGAGCCAGCTTCTCGATGAAGGTCAGTCGCGGCCCTGGTGGCGGTCTCCTTTAGCCAGAGCAGCAACGGCCGCCGACCCTCCCTCCACCTCTGTTTCAGGGGCCTCGCAGTGCTACGATGCGCTGTCTTCTGACATACAGAAAAATGCCTTAGCGGTTTTGGTGAGGCTAGGTGCGGTGGAGAAGAAGAAGGTGTAAGTACCATGCGAGACTCCCGTGAGTGCCAGCGGGGCCGCGGCAACTAGCGACAGTGGCCCAAGTCCAGAGAGATGCAGCCATGGGCGTCACCTCCCCGCCTCCTGATGAGCTGCATCGGGAGGTGTCTCCCTGCCAACTCTGCACGGTTCAGAATGAAAATGATAGTGGAGCAAAGAAAGAAAGTGCTTCAGGCCAGCATTCGGCTTTGGCCTAATATTGAATTATAAGCAAGATCTGGGGGAGCGTTGTGTGTGTGTGTGTGTGTGTGTGTGTGTGTTTGCACACGCACACGTGTATTTGTATGTGCATACGTGTACACTATGTAAACACGCACCTGTGCCTGAGTGGGTGGTTCGCTCTCTGAGTGAACAAATGTCAGAGCGATCCAGCTCAGCGGGTGAACCCTCTCGGTGTGTCTCCCAAGTGGCCGGAGGCCTGAAGCGAAAGGCCCAAAAGGAGGGTGGGAAGGAGCCGGGGCCAGGCAGTGCCCTCAGCCGGGCCGCGGGGACGTGTCCGGAGGCAGCCTCGCGGCACCGCTGGTGGAGGCTGTCTTTCCCCCGGTTGTGCAGTAAGGAAGCTTGTTACTTTTTCTCCTAGAAATAATGACTTTATATTTAATGTGAACGAACCCACCACGACAAAATTAGAAGAAATGCTTGGTAAGTACAGCTCAATAAAGTACGACTGGTTTTCACGTGACATTTGTCAGCATACAGTAAAACAAGAAAGTGTGCCGTGGCACCAAAAACGCATCGAAATGGACCACAGTAGAGTTTTGATATAAACAGAGAACGATTACGTCACCTCGAGTTTTCTCAAGGAAACGAAGGACGAAGCTCGAGGGGGTTGCCCGAGGAAGCCCCACAGACACTGAGTAGGCAGGCTCAGGCAACAGAGAGGCTGTCACCGGACTCTCGGGGTCCGGCGGGCACCGGGCACGCGCCTCGCGTTGCAGCCCTTGGATCTGTTCTCCGCCTCGGCCCTCTGGTGCCTTCCAGCCCTGGTGAGGGATGGGAGCAGTGTCCACGTCACACGCGCTCTCTGAGCTCAGGGCGGCAGACGGTGCTTCCCTGGGAGCATCAGCCCACCCTTGCCCTTCCCCAGACCCCGTCAGCTGACAGAGTTAGTTCAGCCCCCAAAGGCGGGGGCGCTGCTTATGGCCTGCACAGTAGGAATCCAGAGCGTGACAGAAACAGATGTAAAGGGCCAGAGGAGGTGGAGGCCCCTCCACGTGGGAACGATCGGGTGATTGTAGAAGGCGCGGGTGCTGGCATTTGAAAAAAATGACCTGCTGATGATACTGAATAAAGCGCTGATCACTGAGTAGCGCTCTTACCAGTTGTATGTTGGTACCTACCCCTAATGTAGGACCTTGTCAAGCCTGCTTGGAAGAGCGTTAGATAGGTGTCTGTCGGGCGGACGGGGAGACCAGGACGGGCATGCGGTTAAAGGAGAGCGGGTGCAGGACAGGGCAGAGGAGTCGTTGACATAGATTGAGAAGGTGACACTGGAATTTCGGACCGTGGAGCCTTGACGCTCAGTTTTGAATTTGGTAAGGGGGGCAAATAGCTAACACAGACCCCACACCCCTCGTTCTGTGAGGATGATGGAGCTGATTTCTCGATGACGGAGCCACGAGGGGCCGGCGCGCGCCTCCGGGAGCGCGCCGGGCCTGTTCAGAAAGCGTGACCGGCGCCCCGTCCTGCCTCTGCCCCGAGGGGCGCTGGCGATGGCTCGCACCCCTCGGAGATGGTGCCACTTCCGCGAAGGGGCGGGGCCTCCCCCGCGGCTTTGTCCCCTGTCACACTCAGCACAAGTGTCCACTGTTTCTCTTTCCCAAGGGTCAAGTGCATCATGTCATAAACTGTCTCTTTTTTCCTCAGGTTGTAAGACACCGGTAGGAAAATTAGCAACTGCAAAACTTTAACAATTGCCAAACGGTTATGGAAGTTTCAGTCATAAAATACGCAAGGACTTTTATCACAGGAAACAGGGACGTGAGGCGAGAGACCCTTCTTTCTCCTCACGCTTCCCCAGATTTTGAGACGGGGGCTCCGGGGACAGGAAGCCACGACCGATTAAAACAATCCGTGCGACCATCTCCGCTGCCGTGGTCCAGAAGGCATTTGTATCCAACCCTGTGTGTGTTTTCAAATAAAACGATCTTTTGAAAACACGTGTGGCAAAACAAAGCCCAGCTCCTGTCACTGACATTTTCCCACTGATCGCGCGTGTTAAACCTTCACACTGGCCTCTGAGTTACCGTGTGACACCGACGCGAAGCCAGAGGCCGGCAGCCGAAGCCCCCGGGGAGGGCACTCGTGTTTCTCATGGCTCTTCAGCTCAGGTTGCCCCGCGAGGGTGCGCGTCTGACAGGCGCAGTGACCCTCCCTCCCCCCCGCACAGTCGGGAGGTTCTTGGAAACTGCGAATCAGGAGAAACAACGTGTAGCGAAACCCACGCCACCGCAGGCTAGTTGGTGTGGACAGGATTTCAGTTCCTACCCATATTTTGGTCACCTAAACATCACCAGACTTCTGCATAAAGACCCAAACTACTCTAGTGTTGATCATTGAAATAAATGTGAGCTGTACTTATGAAAGATGAATAAAAAATGATTATTTCCAATCCACAGATTTCAGTTCAGGGTCAGGGCCTGTCCAGGCAACTGGTGGCACAAGGCTGGACCCGCCCTGGTCAGGACACCCTCCTGTCCCTTGCAGGAGCCCTCACACTCAATCAGGCGGGGGCAGGGCAGACACGCCAGCTCACCTCGCCTGCCCGTCCGCCGGGCCTGCCCATCCTCCGGACGTGAGGAGCACATGCACACTCCACACCGTTGCCCTGGCCAGGAGTCGATCTTTTTTCTCACCGTTATAACAAAACAGCATTATTTGAAGGCCTGCTGTATATAATAAATTAGCTAACATTAAATTTTGCTGTTCAAGGTCCTTAATAGAGCTGAATTAGAGAAAGTACATGCATCAAAGAGAAGCTATGTATCATAAATAGGCTTAAGAATTCAAGGGAAGAAAAGTTTGAAATGAGGCAAATGCCAAAAACCTTGGCAGCTGGCCACCTCCAGAGTGACGTGCAAGCCGACAGGACAGGCAGGACCCAGCCTCAGAGCACGGGGCGGGGGTGATGAAGGAGGGGCCAGAGGAGAGCGGCGGCGTGCGCAGAGAGAACGGGTCAGGAGGTCCTGGGCTTGGTTCTGGAGGACCTGAAGGACCCATGTTGCTGAAACACATGAAACAGGAACCCCCGTAGTGAAATGCCCCAGGCAGGTGGCACAAACGACAGTAGTAAGTTTTCTCTAGTTCTGGAGTCTGGAAGTCCAAGATCAAGGTCCTTTTCTGGGCTCCTAGGAGGCCGCCATCTTGCTGGGTGCTCGGCCGGCCTCTTTGCATGGAAAGGGCAGGCCCCCTGGTGTCTCTTCTCACAGGGCACCAGCCCCGTAGGACCAGGGCCCCCCATCCAGCCCAAATTACTTGCCAAAGGCCGCATTGCTAGATGCAGCCACGCCCGGGCCAGGGTTTCATCATCTGAACTGGGGGCCACAGCTCAGTCCATAGCAGTGGGGTCAACGTACGCAGTGGCTCGGAGACTCGGAAACGCGAGAACTGGCGTACAGGCGCCAAGGGAAACGTCGGAAAGGTTCTCCTCATGCGGTTCTAGGACTTCCTGCGTCCAGATGCCTGCAGCGTGCGTTCGCTCCCCCACAGCCAGGCTGTGCGGCGCGTTCCGATGGAAAAGCCATTGCAGCCATCCATCCAGGCACCGGCGGCCAACGGCGCTCTCCGTGCGGCTGCATCCTGGGGGGCTGTGGGTGCCTAGAGGGCCCGAGAGTTGAGAAGGTGACCGAGCGTGTTCCTGGCTGAGCAGTTGGTGGCCCGCCAGCTGAACAGACACGCAGCTCCGGGCCCCGGGACACAACAGGTGCGCCCAGAGCAGTTCGTGCTGAGTGGAAGCGCCTTAGAAAGAAGCCCCGTCCACCCAACGTGGTCACTGGCTTTTTCCTTTGGGACACTCATGCCGCGCATATGCAGGATGAAGACGAAGATGACTTTTCTTTGCTTTTAGACCTGTTTGTAACAGACTTCAGGTTTGGGGACGAAGTCTGTGGAGCCTTGGGTGCAAGAGGTTGAGACTTGCCTCCGGGCTAGCTCTGACATTAGAGCCCGTCAGGGAAGCAGAGCGGGGGGGGCGGGCATGTCGTAGGGGGCTTTATCACCTCTCCATCTCCACTCCCTCCCGAGCCATCCGAGTAAAAGTCTCAGTCAAAAGAGCAGCGTGCTCCTTACCCGACACCCTACCCCCCAGGCGCCCCTGCACACACATGCGGTTTTAAACCTCATCGCTGCCCCTCAGCCCTTCCACTCCTTCCTGTCTGTAAACTCTGGCACTGCCACTGCTTTGAAATAAGTTTAAAAAAAAAAAAATGGCCCACTACATCTGGTTTTCTAAGACAGTCTTCATTCCAAAGACAACATAATGTGGCAGCTAAGAAGGCAGGGTCCGGAGTCCAGCTGGGTTGGAAGCGGAACTCCGCCATGGACTAGCTCTGTGTCCTGGTGCGATTTACCGAAACTCCCAAAGCCTCAGCTTCCCTCCCCATCAAACAGGGATGGTAGTAGTACCTGCTGCTCACGGTGGCTGTGAGAAATACAAGTGTTGGTAACCTGACACAGCACTCGGCCACAAGTGTGACCGGTCATTACTGACACCACGGGCTGGGACGAACCTTGCTTGGCTTCTCAGGGAAGTGGCCGGCATGGCCATCGGCACTCGCGTCCCTGGCTCACAGCCTGAGGGCCTCCTCCGCCAGCCGTGCAGCATGACAGCGTCGTACTCCCATGTCCCACTCACAGACACCTGCCTCCTCCAAGTTCGGCCAAGCCACAGGAGACATCGCAGCCTTCTCCCGCTTCCCTCCCACCAACAGAATGGGATCGTTCAGTATGAGACAGAAAATAGATTTGGATGCCTGCCTTGACTTTGTTCCTATCTTTACTTTTTTTTTCCAAATTAAAATTACCATCGCTGACAGAAGGATGAATCTCCTATTGAGAGATTCGAACACCCCATTTTTCTAGACCACACCCTGGGCTGGCTGCTGCACAGCTGTCAACCTGGGGTTTCCCTTCAGTGTTGTCTTGACAATCCCCTTCACTTCTCTGGGTTGGGTTCCCCTCTCTCTCAGATCCCATGCCTCTCTTTTTGTTTGTTGTTCATCTTAGTGAAACTTATCTTCCAGGTGTATGAAGGGTTAATATTTGAGACCTTGCATAGTTTAAAAATATCTTTTGTCCACTCTCATAGTTGTCTGATGGTTTAGCTGGGTATAAAAAGCTAAGTTGGAAATAATTTCCCCCCCAGAATTTTGAAAAGCAATTTTCCATTGTGTTCTAGTTTCTAAAGCTGTTCTTTTGAAGTTAAAAGAACAGCCCTGGCTGTTCAGTGGATTGAGCACCAGACTGCAAACTAAAGAGTCCCTGGTTCAATTCCCAGTCAGGGCACATGCCTGGGTTCTGGGCCAGGTCCCCAGTGCAGGGCACTCAAGAAGCAACCACACACTGCTATTTTTCTCCCTTTCTTTCTTCCTCCCTTCCCCTCTATAAAAAAAAATGAATAAATAAAACCTTTAAAAAAATTCTGATTTCTTAATACAAACTATCTGGAGAGTTTTCAGAATCTCTTCTCTATAGTTTCTGAAATCAGGTGATGTGCTTGGTTGTTGGGGTTCTAAAATGTTTTTTTCTGAGCCCTCAGTGGACCTTTTCAACAGACAAGTGTCCTTCCGTGCTAGGAAATGTTCTCGTGTTATTTCTTTTGTCACTGGCTCGCTTTTCTCCACTCTTTTGCTAAAATTCATGTTGTTTTAGGACCTCCTGGCTTCCAGTCTTCTAACGCCCTGTTTTTGTTTCATAGACTTGATATCTTATCTCTCAGCTAATATGGTTTCATGGAAGTTTTCTTCATCTTTTGCAGTTTTCTGTGTTCTCACCAAGTGTGTTTGTTGTTTTGTCCTTCCTGGCTGAGACTTCCCCCCGGTACCCAGCACCCTTTGGCTACCCGTTCACACTGAGGAGTGAGACAGGACGAAGCTGACTGGCAGCTCCCCGTGCAGGGGCGGGCTTCCCGGAGTGGGCCGCGCAGGACGGCAACGAGGACAGGCACCCTGTGGTTTTGCCAGGAGATCCCAAACTTCAGTACATTTGGTCTTTTTCTCTGTGGGGAGTCAGTGTCTCCAGAGAGGACTCATTCAGTCTCCTGGGAGTTGCTGCCCACATGCGGAGGCCTGAGGGTCTCGTCCAGCATGAAGACTTGCACAGCACCCACCCCCAGCTGTGCCCCGTGCGCTCCTTTAGGGAATAAGCCTCCGTCTTCTGCGCTGGAGGAGCGGCTGCCTGGCGGGTGGAGGGCAGGCCTTCCAGGGCTGTGGCTGCCCCGGCACAGCCCCCCGCGTCCGCCTCCTCCGCGCCTGCCCTCCAAGCGTCTCTGAGTCCTGAGCCTTCCTGGGCATCGGCGGTGCAGGTGGTTTGGCTTTGCCTCCCACCAGCTAAGGTTCGGATCTGCGAAGGCAGTTACCACTCACCTCCTGGCTGTCGGCTCACATGGGTACAGCCTGCAATGTTTTCACCTTCTCTGTGCGCTAACTTAAAGATACTTATTACCTCTTTGTGGAAGAATGGCCCTCTTGGACTTTTTCAGCTTTGTAGTGCTGTTTAATAGGTAATCTTCTGTAAAACCAGTTTGCCATGTGGGGAGGAGGGGAGATTTCATCTGCATGCACCACTGCGGACGGCACCAGAATGGGGGGATCCAGCCGGCAGGTCCCCGGCCCCAAGTTCCTGCTCACACGTCTATTGCTCTGCAAAAAGCTACTGACCAGGCGTTTCCCTAACACTAAACCTCAGTTGCTTGGGAGGGTCAGGAAGCAGGAATTAGCTCTTCTGTATCCTAGGGGATACAGCCACATGGAGAACGACTTCTGGGAACCAGGAAGTGGAAAACCTATTACAAGTTGTCAATCATGAAATAGGAGGGAGCTGAGAGAAAAGAGTACAATTATCTCTGGGGGAAAAATGGGCTTGGGTCCAATGAAGTCCTCACCGCTTCTATGTCAACTCTTAGCATTTGAAACCTGTGCTTTTTTTGGAAATGGGGCCATTGAGTACTGAGAAACAAT